TGACAAATTTCTCCCATATAATATAAGGACCGGTTAACAGGCTCACCAATTCATTGCTCTAAGGCATAATGAAGCACTCTCCGATACACTTCCCTCATCAACAACGAGCTTCAGCTACTATCCTTCATCTCTTGATTCAGCCGCCATGTCGATCCATTCAATTCCACCAACAACATCGATGTTGATTCCGACTCCGCGATTGCAATTGGCCTGCCGCTAGCCCTTTCCGAGCTCCGGACGACACCACACGAGCGATGAAACTCTTGAACTAGGATCGCCAAGAAACTCGAGATGAGAGGGCAATTGCTTCGTTTCGGAAGTGGTCGGGTTTGTGATCAGGAGGGAATGGCTTGGGATGGATTTGGCTACTAGCGAAAATTGAGATTAGACCTGGAAAATTACAACTTGACCCGTTGACCCGACCCGAAACCGCCTGAAAACTGGAAATTTTTTAACCTGAAATCCAAATGACCCAAATCTGATAACCCGTAATTTTTTGGGTCGGGTTGGGTGGGTTAGAGGGTCAACCGGTTAGACCCCTTCCATTTATATATCACTCCCAAAACGATAAAATCACACTTAAATTGGTGAGATGTTTAAAAAAAATCACAAGAATTTGAATGACATGTTTGGAGTTTAAGAATAATCAAATATCATCTGTTTCTTGTTATTACTCTTGTGATTGTTTTTTGACGATTTGCGCAATTTGTTTTCATTTCATTAGCGTGGGAGGTTTTGAGAATATGTTAATTGACATGTGTTAAGTAAACTATTGTTTCTGAGAATATGTTAATTGACATGTTAATTGACATGCATATGTGAAAATTTGTGTTCTTTAAGAAACTATGAAGCATGTTTGATATTGTTTCTGAGAACGTTCATGACCCGAAATGACATGTAACCCGAATCAAAACCGAAAGGTTTGGGTCAATATTTGCCCCAAAATCAACCAACCAAATATGATCTGACCCATAGCCAAAGTCTCCAACCTGAAATTACCCAACCTGACCCGATTACCAAGTCTAATTGAGATGGAGAAGTGTGGCCGGTGAGTTTTAGGGTTTTGCTATTATTAGTTTATATACTAATTACCAAAACGTGCAATGTGTAAGAGGTTAGCTTAGGTATTTCACTAGTGTCCTACAACCGGGTGTTACAACTTGTCGTAATTAACGTGGTTAACCGATTAGGCTACCCACCTAATTAAAACGCTTAATAAAATATCGTAGCTTTGATTTGGTCCATTTGAGTTTTCGTACCCAATCGTCGACCCATCGATACGATCATCTTCTCCTGGACCTTGTGGACATAAAAATAATAGAAATAATAATAAAAATAGTAATAATAATAATTATTATTATCACTCTTAATCCACGGTCTCAACCCTTGCGTCGGCAATGATAAATTTGGATCGCATCAATTATTTAGGCATTGGTCCTTAACTTGGTCTACTTTGATTTGAGTTTTTCGTTCATAACCGTTGATCCAACCATTCATTTATTAATGTTGACCCTGAACCCAAATGCCGGGATGCTATATTTCTTCCACCCTTATAAAATTTCATCCCTGGAATTTACTGGTTCAAAATCCCTCTCGCCACCTCACTAACCTTCTCCCTATTTGAACTTCAACGGTGTAAGTTGCTCATCTCGGATTAGTTTATTGTACCTCTTATAGTTGTTTCTGACCACAATCGATATCCTCGTCTAGCTTGTAGCATAATGTAACTTGGAGTGACTCGTTATTCTTTTCAATTTCACAACTTGATCCGGTTGTGTGGTAGAACACAATTCCCATTCGATATGATTCGTTGGTACAACTCACTCAATAGTTGAACCTAAATCAAAATTGAGGGTTACATTTACATCCAAACATCAAATTCTGACTTGGAGGAGTCCATCACCAAATGTCAATCCAAGAGAACTTTAAAATGAAATGAATAACTTACAAGCTAAGAGAAATAGATTGTTAATGTTCATCAAACTTGCTAGAAATCATTATAGTAGTCTTGGATAATGCGCTCTAGAGACTTTCCAGGTTTATTGATACTTATAGTATTTGATTTTTTTCATTTTAATTTTTATCAAATGTATTTCTTATGTTTGATTTTTTATTTATTGCAGCGGTTGAAGTGTTTGACATTGCAAATTCATCTTACAAAATGTGAATATTGTGGATCAATGACATGGAAGGGTGAAAGTATAAAACCCACAAGGAATTCCGATTAACCAAAGTTTCATTGTGATGCAGATAAGGGAAAGGGAACCTCCCTCCCCGAAGACAATCTCTAGAGGTTTTGAATATGCTATTGCAAGTAAATCCTTCAACGAGGCATAATTTTTTGGAACATATTCGAATCTTTATTATTTGGTTCATCGAGCTATATTACAGTGAAGAAATTATTTGGTTCATCGTGCTATATTAGCTCCACATCATGAAATGATATCGACAATAAATAATTGTGTGATGGAAAGGTTTCCAATTGATGAAGTTTGTTATCATAGTTTAGATTCAATTGAGGTTGATCATGTTTACGCGCATCATATAGAGAGATTATTCTAAGGAGTTTCTCAACACATTGAAGGTTTATAAATTCCCATACCTAGATTGAAGGCTGCATGTTCTTCATTTTTATTTAGAAATATATATCAAAATACAGATCTCAGCAATGACACTAGGATGATTATCAAGAGACTTGACACATAATTATTGAAGTGGAGATTCTAAGAGGTACTCATATTGATGAAAGAGTCTTTCAACCTCAGATTAAATTGTCTTATCATTACAAAAGTCTGGATTTCATATTGGTTAGGCGACAATATCCTATTGAAGTTTGTTTTGCTATGATAATTAACAAAAGTCAAGGTCGAACTTTAAAACATGTCGGTCTTCGCTAGAAAAAGCAAGTGTTCTCTCAAGGCCAGTTTTATTTTGCATTATCATGAATTAGACCGCAACCTGAAATAAAGATTTAAAACTTTTTCGGAGGTGAAGAATTGAAGACCATGCAAAATATTGTATTTGAGGAAATGTTTTACTAATATTACACAACTAGAAACAAATTACTTTCGGGAAAACGATTGATATTTATGATAGTTTTTAATACATTTACTTCCATCAATTTGATTTTTTTCATTAAAGATCATAATTTGTTTGTTATACATGGGAAGTAGGTTTTCACAACGCTGAACCTTTTAAATGAACCACGTCCTGAATAAATTTTGAAAATGGACAACCAAGTTTCAAATAATTTTTAGACAATTTTTCTATTACTAATAGAATCATATTGATTCTTTGGCTTTAGCAAATAAAAAGTATCTTAGTTCATGCAATTTTCATTATTGTTTACGTCATTACAATATTATACAAATTCATAATCCACCTTCGAGTTGTGGACAAAATAGTTGAAGCTGATTTTGTTGTTATGGATTGATTGGAAGTTTGGTATTTTGGAATGTTGCCTGAAAGCCTATTCCAAGAAAATAATAGAATGAGAGGAACACCACTTGCTCATCTCCTACAAATTTGAGGGAATGACATTGAATTTCGGCGTCAAAATCACAAATTACAACATCGTTAATTCAGTAAGTGAGTACACAATTATCAGGATAAGGAAGGATGAGAAAGAGAAGGACACATGAGATCTTCCTAGCTTGATAGAAGTAAATTCTAATTACATAAAAATGATTATCAATATTAATCACAAATTTTTCTTATTCTCTATTGGGTTTGGATTTTTTTACCATGCACAGATGATACTTAGATATATTCTTCAACATCTAGACAGATGCATAAATGTATAATTTAAAATTCTGGGGGAATTTTCCTATATTTCCTACGGGCATACCCGCAATTGTATACTTGATTGAATTATGAGATATACATGTCTTCAATTTTAATACCATGCACAAATTTATACCTTCAACTTTTAAACCATGTACAAATTATAAAAAAACTTAGTTGTATTATTTAATCTATAAACAAATTAATACATATAATTTATAACTTAAAACTCCAATGGAACTTTTCTTCCTTTTCGCAGTAACATGCAAGTAATTGTATATCATGTTACAATTTTAACTCCAATATTTTTTTTTGACAAAAAATAATCATATATTGATTCAAATATATATTAGATACATATGATTCGATAAAACCATTCCATATGTTCTTCTTTTGAATGTTAATTATACTAATTCATAATAATAATGCATGAGAACACGAATGACACTGCTTATGGTGGAGGTACGAGATCGATTACACATGATGTTGTTGAGAAAAAGAAAAACATTGTTCATGTAGAAGATATAAAGACTCGAGATGGGGAGAAAGAACAAATCCTTGATATTGTTCATAATTTGGACGAGGTAAATTCTACTCAAATTAAAAATACAATTTGTATTTAAAAGTATTTTACCATTTTTTTCTCAACAAAATTAAAAAATTAAAAAAGAAGAGATTATTGAAAATAAATGCAAGAGAAGAATCAAGATGCAAACATTATTATGGGCAGAGATGAAGATATTACTAGTGGCAGAGATGATTATGTTGGTCTTGGAGGAGAAAATTTAAACAAGTCAAAAAGAAAAAAATATTAATCTCTGATGATGAGGAGTTATAAATATAATAGTTATTTGAAAATGACTTTAGGAGTCATTTCCTTGCCTGAGTTTAATCTTTTCCTTTCGTAAAAGGATTTTAGTCGACGAGTTATTAAAATATTGGAAAACATTGTATTGTTAATCTTTATGAATTGTTGAACCATTTTTATAATTTGAATTTTTTAATTCTACTTATCAATTCAAATGTTTCGAGTAGTTGAATATTTAAATTTTACTATACTACCAAAGATATGAGTATCTCGAATTGGCAACTGAATTCGACCAACTGCCCGGGCTCCATGACTAATTTAAGTAAAAGTACTACGGTGTAAGGTGTTATAGTAATCATCCCGCACCGCACATTCATACAATACATCGGATATTCGAATTTATTAATTACTTATTCGTTACAGCTTTATTCCCCCCTCCCTCTACACCATCCCAAACCACGATTTTCTATCCAACTGCTTCCCTCAAATTTCCACTCTATTTCTGCTGCAATTTCTTCAAGATTGCTCAGTCAATTCGTGTTTAAGGTACGCCAATCCCGTCATTTGTCTGAATTCCTTGAAACAATTGGATCTGCTTGGACCTTGGACCGATTTCAAAGTCGAATTGGGGTAAATATCGTTTTGTTATGCCCGTTGGAGCTCTTCTTGTACGTTAATGTAGTAATCCTTGAATTGCTTACAGAAAGTGAAATTATGAAGTTCTTAGAGTACACTCCGCTTAAACGGTAAATAGAAAACGTTGGAACACTTTCAGTCTTTGAATTTGTAATTGTAAGAATGGGTTTCCATGTTTCACCTTCTTTTGGATGTAAAAATAGATGATTTTCTGAATCATTTGAATCTTGGAGAGTGCACGATCAAAGGATCCCTTGAGGCCTACTCTTGTAAGTTCTTTGTCCTTACACGTCATGTTTCATATTGAACCATCTTCTTCTGTTCTCGTCGTAACCTTTGTTTTCTGGTGCTTTCTCAAGGTAAACACGTTGGATCTGACAAAAAACTTTCTCTCAGTTTGGATAATGAGGTAGTTTGCATTTCATTCCGAACCTTTTTGAAGTCAATACTAGTAGGAGGAAGAATCATGAATACATATGTATTTGATTGTTTTGTGTAGCATTCCTTATATGACATGGGCTGAAATCCTTTTCTTTGAATAAAGTGTAATAAACACCGTTCAAATAGGTGCTAGGCGCTAGGTAAGCATTGGGGTCTTTGCGTAGCACCTAGGACGCATAAGCGTTTTAAGCTATTATAACAATTTTATAGCACTTTTTGACTTGGACTCAATTTTGAACGATTAATTTATAACTTAGCTAATCCTCAATAGCAAGCAAAATATGTCATGATTTCGTACAAGGCAAAAACACAAGCTTATAGATTTAGAATCAGAACTTTGTAGAAAGTGTGGAATACAAGTTCTTGAAACACAAATTCACATAAACAACAAGGTCATAGCAACAAGAATTTTGGGGCAAGGTTGGAGATGAGAATCATTGCAGTCACCCACGATTAATTTCGGGGTAGGGGAGAAGTCGCTTCAATTTGGAAAGCTCGTTGACATTCCAATCGAGGAATAAGGCATGTGTAGGATGGGTCGTTGTGAGGAACGATCAAATGGAAGGATGCCTAATTTTTGGGTAGTTTTAATACATGTTTTATCTTTAGTTGCCATACCGCCTAAGTCTTCTTACCTCCAATTAGTCATGCCTCAGCCAATTAATCACACCTAGCTGTGCCTAGGCGTTATGAATGACTAATGTTCTGCCGACGGCCTAGGCAATGTGTTTTGTCACTGCCTAGCGCCTAGGCATACGTGAAATTACGCCTTCTTGAATCCTGATAATAAACATACATGTTGATTTCATTAGTTTTTCTTAGCTATTTTAGAGTTTTGAAGGGGTCGATTTACGTACTTGGAGCAAATATAATCCGTGTATGATATCCTGAAGGAAAGCTTTTAGATATCCCAGGAAAGTATGCACTAATATGCTGCATATAGGTTTCCTTAAAAAGCATGATATGAAAGTGTATGGTCTCTGCGGACAATACTGACTTATGTTCTTGCTTCAGATCCTTGATTATATTGGGAAGTCTTCAGATACAGATTTGTCTTCGCCTACTGAATACCTTTTGAGCAGATCTAGGTGGTGAATGCTAAATAGATTTGGTTTACGAAGTAAGAGTTTTTGTTATGTTTACGGGTTATTTATTATTGTTGTTCCAGCCGGAAGACTTTAATTAATTTACCTTGTTCTGACACTCTCTCACATGTATCCGGACTAAGATTTCAGGTAACTCTGTACTTTACCCCTTATATCATGTGGATGTCATCAGTAGTTTGGTTCTTAAACTGAGGTTGGTTTGCACTAGTTTTCAATTGGAAAACGAAAAAGATCATCACCTTAGCCTTGCAAGCTTTTGCTTTCCAATCCAATGATTGTTTTCATTTATTTAGGAATGGACGGAGGAGAACGGGGACACTTCCTTGCTAGAAGCATTATACCGGGCTCTAAATGAGCTTCTGTTTCTGCTGTGTAAGGTAAATCTCGCGACGCGAGTAGGCCTATCACTTTCTTTGTGCAACATCCAGTTAGCTTTATGCTCTTAATTTGTCTTCCATCTACTGTTGGTTTGACAGGCATAGATAACTTAATTAACGGGGAAGATAGATGGAGAAACATTTCATGTCAACTTCTAGTTAGCTATGGATAATAGGCTTAGTCCTAAGATGCAAATACTATTATGACATCCCGTCTCATCTGTACTTCACCCGTTGATTTTTTAGTCCTTTTGATGGCGGCTATGCCTTATTGTTCAGTATTCAGTACATAAGAGACCCTTGGCTTTAGCTTGCAAGCAAAAGATTTCGCTGCATGTGAGGGTGATGTGTAATATTAATTATAAACCTTAGGTCAGGTTACTGTTCCCTAATAAAGCTTCCACACTCTTTCTCTCTGAAGCCTCCAACTCCTACTCCATTACTCTTACTTAAGAGCATGTATATAGAATATTTATTTTCAATTTGTTTCTATATTTATTTTACAAAAAATTTGTATGATGCGTACAAAGGCTGCTTTTTTATACAAAAATTAGGGGTTGATTTGTTGTTGGTGGCAATTTAAATATGTGTATCCCAAATAAACAATAGCAAATCGATCCCAATAAAAGGGTAGTGCTGGGACTAGAACTATCTATGAGAGCTTGGTTATTTGTTCTGGAACCAAATTACTATTTACTATAAGTATGCTCTAGATTAGCTTACTTCACAATTGCCACACTTTGAAAAGGCGGTGTGGGAAATGTAGAGAAGGGTGATTCTCGGAGATTTTTCAACATTCGGAATGATTCATGTCGAGGGAGGGATCTCCTTATTCTCATACTAGATTTTTCACGATCGTTTTTAATTAGAGGTAAATAAATCATTCATATCGTATTTGTACCTTTTTATTTTTCACTCTCCATCTATAGATTAATTTGATGACTACAATGGTTTTAAAAACCTTCTTGAAGATTTAGAATTCATGACCTAAACTGAATTGATTGACCATATCTTTCAAGACTTATTTTATGTGTTAGACTTTACGCATTTTTCTTCATTTGTCCAAATTATCTTTTAAACAATTAGTCAACATCGACATCTTAAGAAAACTAATGCATGTATGAAATTTTTTGTTTGGTTGATTTTGACATGTCATATTATGGATCTACTAACTTTCTACTACGACAAGTATGATTACTTTCTAAAAATTATGGATCAATGCTGATATAAAAGAAAAATAGTTATTGTATCGTGATCAATAAAGATTGATATTCACTTATGATTTTGTATTACGTTCCCTCAATTAAAATTATATGGTTTAGGATTAGTAAATAGCAGTCCAACACCTAAATAACTAATTACTTTTTTGTTGTTGTTGATTATAATGGTTTTTGGCTCTATCAATTAAAATAAAATAATATACACAATGCGCTAAGTAACAAAAACAATAAAATCAACCTCCGACCGTGTCGGAGCTTCGGAGCTCGGCTATCGCCGATCTAGTAGTAGTTGAAAGGAAAAACGTCGCCAATAAATCAAATTCCCAAATTCAATCTTTTTGTTTTTTTAAAACTAGCCTGGATATTCGTTAATTCAAAGAGTGGTTATTACAATCAACTCTGAGTTGGTTTAACCAAATTCATTCTTCTTATACACAACTCTGTTGGAAATTCTAAAATTGAAAGAAGTATTGGGGTTATCTATAGAGATACCTACCACAACTGAGAATGTGGATTTCTTCCCAGCACATGTTCCTAAAATAAATTTTCAATATACACGTTTTATGAAAAATCCTAATCTACACATGTCTGGACATCATCGCAGGAGACGAAAGCGGTGAATGGATTAGTGCGACGGACGAATACGATGAAGGCGCGGTGAAGGCTTCATTGCGGCCGCGAAACGCGATGAAGGTCTGACCTAAAACTGAAACTTCAAACAAACTTTATGCTCCGTTATCCGGTCGTAGAGAATTTTTTTTTATGCATAATTTATTGAGATCTTGCAAGCCACGAACACCTTAGGCGGTATGGTCCCATTTTCGTCTCGAAAAAAGTCGTTTGCTACATCGTACGATAATTTTTTTTGATTTTGCCAAACATTGGACTACCATAACTTTGTGCTCCGCAACCGGAACATCATGAAAAAAAAATTTGATTCCGCATAATTTTTTTGGGATTACAACTTTTACTAGAAAGGAATTTTCAAAACAGAAATATTTTTGAATATACAGGGTTTTGAGAATAACTTTCCCTTTACTTATAAAAAAACTACATACATTCTGAAATTATGGCTATGATAAAAGTTGTAGTCCCAAAAAAATTAGGGCTAATACCACTAAAAATATCATCCTTTAGCGAAAGTGCCATTAATATTACATCTTTTTGGATATGCCATTTGTATACTAAAATGTTTTCTCTGTTAGTTGGGTCGTTAAACATAACTGTGCGACTTTTCAACGCCCAGTCAGCGCTTAATAGGATCCTACGTGGCTTGGTGAGGTGGTTTATTTACTGAAATGAAAAAAATACGGTAAAAATAAAAACGGGATCGGGCTCCCCAAACTGATTTCGTTCTCACCTTTCCTCTTCGTCTCCCTCGACTGTGAAACAAAGAAGAACCCTAGCTTCCCATAGGGAAAAAATTTCCCTAAATCGACGAGCTGGGCAGAATCAATCAGCGTGCGAGTGGAGGCAAAGGCTTCGGATCGTCGCCGGGAGTGAGATCGGAGGAGCGGAGTGGTCGAATCGGCGCAGAGCTATATCTTCGAGTCTGCATCCGCCATCGAAAACGCCCGATTCATCCTTGCCGCCGCAGACATCTTCCCCGCCCGAGAAGATCTCATGCTCAACTTCATCTACTTCATCGTGACCTCCTCATCATTCGCCGTCGTCGCCGTCGACATCGTGCTCTCGCTCATGCTAAAGCTCACGCTCACACTGCAACCTCCGACACATCTTGCTCCGAGATCTCCTCTTCGGCCACTAGTTTCTCCACCACCGAAGGTTGAATTTCATTCTTCTCCTAGACAACGATTGGCTCCTCTGGCTACGGATTCACTGGATTCAGCGGCGATTGGGGAGGTGGAATGGCAGAGTAATGCTGCTGTTGCGGCGACGGCAGCCTGTGGGGATGATTGGGATTGGGGATTTCGGAGGAGAGGACTTCCTTGACGGTTTCCTCGCTGCAGTCCGGTGGCGGAGCTCTAGTTTCCGCGGTTGACTTGAGAAACTTGGGCGGCTCGAAGTCGTAACGGTTGTCGTTTTTTTGAGGAAGGGTGAGAAGCAGAAACAATTGGAGAGGATTTGGTTGCACTGCTGAGACAACAACCCATTTGGCGAAAAATTGGCCAGGTGATTCGCATTCGTTGGGGGAATTACAGGTGGAAAGAAATGGTCGTTGATCAACGGTCGACCTTAGTTACGACCAATTTTCCACCCTTCAGCTGACCTGCTTTGTCTTTCCTTCTGTGACGCCTCAACAACAAACCATCACCGCCGTCTTCCAAAGCTCGAGCGCAAGAGTCACCTTTCAAAACTCCACAGCCACGACCCCCTTCCTAAGCTCCAGCGTCGCCGCCGTCCAAAGCTTTGTCGACACAGTCGCCGTCGTCGTTGTTTGGAACGGAGGTAGCAGGAGAGCAGCTCCATTCGTCCTCGGGTTGGGAGAATAGAGGCCCGATGCTGTAAAAAAGATAGGGTGGGTGGGGTTGAAAGAATTTTTATTTTGTAATAGAATAATAATAATTAATTAATAATATTTTTAAGCATTTTTTCAAACGTGGCATCCACGTGACGCCTACATGGACACAAAGTGGGCCACCGTTAGGTCAACCGTCATTTCTAACGGTCAACAGAAATTTGTGTAACACAAATGACGCAAACCCCTAATAGATTGGAATATTTTTGTGCTTATTGAAAGCATGTAATATAAATGGAACTTTCGCTAAAGGATGGTATTTCCAGTGGTATTACCCCAAAAAATTATGCGGAATCAAAAAAAAAATCGATGACCTTCGGGTTGCAGAGCACAAAGTTATGGTCGTCCAAAGTTTGATGAAATCGAAAAATTGCTCATTTGGGGTAGCAAACGACGTTTTTCGGGACGAAAGCAGGACCAAACTGCCTATGGCGTCTGCGGCTAGCAAGATCTCAAAAGATTATACGAATCAATAAACATTTTGCTACGATGGATAAACGAGCGCAAAGTTGCGTTCGCCACTTTCTTCCGCCACAGTGATGCATTTCACTGCTTTCCTCTGCCGCGGTGATGCCCAAACATGTGTAGATTGATTTTTTTTTCTTCATAAAACGTGTTTATTCTTTTTTTTTTTTGTTTTTTTTTTTTTAGAACGTGTATACTTTGAGAAAAAACCTTAAGGAGCGTTGGCTGATCTTTGTGACGTTGCTAACGTGGTAGGCGGTGTACTCACTGTAAGTAGAGCTCCCCAAGAAATGATAAGTTGGTCTGCCTTTGATAGTGACCTTGAACTTGCCGTTGGTGAGCTTCACCTCACGATCGGTTTTGATCCTAAGAAGATAACACATAATGCTTTTTTGGACTTATAGTGACGATTACATTCTCCAGTGAACACCCGCATCACTTTAGTAGACATGTTTTCCATTTTTTGTCAATAGTGTGTTCGTAGGGTGTAAACTAGAAAAGGGAAGGTAAAAGTGCAAGAGAGTAACTTCGATATTCGTTAAGATGACATGTAACAAATTTTAGGATGATGTTTCGAAACCCTAATAGTAATGGTGAAATGCTAAGGTTGAGATATGATTTTTTTTTTTTTTTTTGTCTTGGTGGCATTATTGTTTTGCGAACAAAAAGAATAAAGATTAAAATCTTTGAATTCATCGTGCCTTTATAGCTAACAATCAAAATAATATTCTAAAAAAAATCAATACAATATTTCCTAGCCATCCTTCCAGGCTCTTGTCTTACTGTAAAAGCCAACTAGAGCCAAGACATCATAGTCATAGTATACTGAATCGCTATTCGTCGCCCTAATATTTAAATTTTATCGCCCTAAAATGCACCGAATTGACACTATTACCCCTATTCCTAATTTCAACCCAAACCTAAAATTAAAAATTTCTTTTCCCTTGCCCAGCGGTCGCCGAGCTCCTCTATCCTCTGATTGCCGGATTCTTAACTCCGGCTCGTCTTTCTTTTGTTCAACCCAAATCACCCCGCTTCCAACACCAAAGCCAGGTCCTACGCTGTCCTTACGAACGAGTGGATCAGCTCGGAGTACCCAGCAAGAATCGGAGAAAATTAGTTACCTACATCCAATTTCTGATCACTACTACTTTCAAAATGAATGAAAGTGAAAACTACAGAAGGTGGCGGTATTATCTCTATCCAACGTGTAGTTACATTCTCAAAACTTTAAACTAGAACTTTTGGGAGTGGACACGCGTAGCGGTGCAACTTTGGAACATATCCTGTTGGCGGCGGCCAATTTTGATGGCCATCAACTCTGCAATTAGCCCAAATCTCCACAACAAAGCCGCCGCTACCGCCGTCCTCAGCCCTCGTCGCCGGGCTCGAAATCTCTAGCGGCGGAGGAACGGGGAAATTAGGGATGAGTTTGTTTTTAAGTTTTGAAAAATAAATAAATGAATTAAGGGTATTAGAGTAAATTTAATTTAATTAGGGCGACGAATAGCAATGCCCGTAGTATATGGGTAAATTACAAGTTTGGTCACTAAAATTACTAAAATATTTCACATTTGCCCCGAAAATTACTTTATTCCATTCGTGGTCATTAAAATTAGTTTAACAATTCAAGTTTGGTCACTCTCTGTTAACCTCAGTTAGTCTCCATTAAAAGATTCCTTTAAGTGCTGATGTGGCTAACAGAATCGTCCAAACAACCTAATTTAATCTGAATAAATGAACACCCGACCCAACACGTCATTTTGACCCGCCATGTCAAATTTCTCAACCCAACCCATGAATCAACCGGATATAAACCCAACTTATGACCTGTTTCCACCCGACCCGCCCAATTTCAATAATATTTTAGGTCGGTGTCGTTAAGTACTGATGTCGTTGTTGCAGATCGTTCCTCCGCTGCCTGGAAACCAACAGGGCTCCAAAAGAAAAAATCTCTGACCTGATTTACTCCCCCATGAACAACTCCGGACTCAACACTTCCTCCACCCCCAAACCCCCAATCATCATAACCCCGACCAAAATCCCCACGTCCAAGCCGCCATCATCTGCACCAAGGCCGCCGATAACCATCTCAAAACCCGCAGCGATGGCCACGACTACTAGTGATAAATCGAAGACCTTGTTGAGTCCGACGGAGATCATTATTTAATTGATAGGGACTTGAACTTGTTGTCGTTGAGAATCTGGACATCGAGTGATAAATCAAAGACACAGACATAAGAATCTTATATCCAACTCTCTTTGTCTCTCTAGTGCGGGTTGACGGTGGCGAAGAAGAGGCAGAAAAGATGCAGATGGAAATATGTGAGTTTTGATTCGTAGAAGAAAGAAGGGTTGACGGCGGCGGAGAAGAATCCCACGGAATGCCTTTAATGGACAAGGTCCACAGCGATCAGCAGCAGCCCATATCCGAAGCCCAGAAGAAGAAGTCTTCTGCTGCAAAGACTCCGAGTACAATAGTGATAGGGAATGTAGAAGTTCCTTATTGTACAAGGAAACTAATTAATACCCTAGGTGATTGTAAACGCAGGGTATATAATGGTTGTAAGGCCATTGGCCGTGAATCATCAGTGAAATAAGAACAAACTGGAGAGACGAGCTCTCCCGTGGACTAGTCCCGACATTCGGGGATACCACGTAAATCCTGTGTCTTTTATTATTCCGCAAATCGTTCTTACAATTTTATTATGGTATCAGAGCCTAGTTCATCGTTAAGTAGTTATGTCCGGCAAAGATTCATTCTCCATGAGTACGCCCGAGTCCAAGCTCTCTGGCGGCGGTGCTACTGGAGGAGGTGGAGGGATCGACACTACTGATCCGTTTTTCATCCATCAAAGTGATAGCACCGGTCACCTCCACGTTAGCAGCCTCTTAACACCGACAAACTATGGTGAATGGGTATTGGAGATGACGGATGCACTGGTTACAAAAACAAGGTCGGCTTCGTGGATGGTTCTATTCCCCGACCAGATAATGGATCGACGCAATCTCTTGCCTGGCTGCGTTGCGACGCACTCGTTAAGGGCTGGTTGCGCACTGCGATGGACGCGGAATTGCGCAGCAGTGTTATGCATGCTAAGTCCGCCCAAGAAATCTGGGAAGACTTGCGCGATCGGTTTAGCAAAGGTAATTTAACGCGCGCTTATGAACTGCGGCGTCATGTGGTTTTGCTTCAACAAGAGAAGCAATCTGTATCCAGTTTTTACACCCAACTGCGGAAGGTTTGGGAAGAAACGCAGTCAATCCTGCCGCCACCACTCTGTCCTTGTGGCCGCCGGAGTCGTGATCAAAATGAAAGTCTACGATTGTTAGATTTTTTACTTGGCCTGGACGAGTCATTCGCAACTGTTCGCAGTCAGATTCTGTCCATGGCAGTCACGCCATCACTTCCAGAGGCCTTTCGCATAGTCTTCAACGACGAGCAACAAAGGACCCTTACTCAAAGCCGTAAGCCCACTCCGGAGGCGGCTGCCTTCGCAGCACATGAAGACGCTGGGAAGAATGGTCCTGATTCCCGTGATACACGCGATGGACGGGGTCGTGCGACTGGAGAAAGGGAACGTCGTTTTTGCACCCATTGCAACAAAACTGGGCATCTTAAGGAGAGTTGTTTTGAGCTCATTGGTTGGCCATCTCGAGACAAGTCAGGAGAGAAGCCAGATCGTCGTCGCAACCGGGACAGAGATTCAGGCAAGGGTCGTGGACAGAGCCGTGAGCCGCGAGCTTCGCAGGCTGAATCAGATTCGGTCGCCACCTCTGGTTTCACTCCACAACAGCTGACCCAACTGAAACAGTTCTTTGGCACTTTAACTCAAGGAGCTGCCGACCCTTCTAGTCACATGGCGGGTACGTTTTCTTTTTCTTCTGAGACTGAATGGCTTATTGATTCCGGCTGCAACGAGCATATTGTCATGGATGATTCTCTCCTATTTTCGTACAATGATAATGTGACTTGTCAACCGGTTCGGATTCCCAATGGGGCAAGCATTCCCGTCAAACGCATAGGGTCGACCAGACTTGGAGAGGGACTCGCACTTAGTCGCGTTCTTCATATTCCGGAATTCAGCTGCAATTTGCTCTCAGTAAGTCGACTTTGTCAAGAACATCATGTTGCTTTAACCTTCCTTGGTGATTTCTGCGTTATACAGGACTTACAATCCAAGAACGTGATTGGGAAGGGGGAGATTCGTGATGGTTTATACTTCTTAAAGTTGTTTGGTTGCCGAGTGCGCGCCAATGCCGTGGCTACTGGTGATGGGACGCTTTGGCACGCTCGTCTGGGTCATCCTTCTGCTGGTGTTCTGGAGAAACTTAGTTCAAGTATTTCTATTTCAATAAAGTCGGCTATTGATATTTGTCATCCATGTTCGAGGGCAAAACAAGTTCGAACACCCTTTCCTGTTAGTGGGATTCGAACTACTTCTTGTTTTGAAATGTTGCACATGGATATATGGGGAGGTTATCATACTCCGTCTTACAGTGGAGCTCATTATTTTCTGACCATTGTTGATGATTATAGCCGTGGCGTTTGGATTTATCTCCTACGTTTTAAATCTGAGGTTGGTCGTTATATAAAGCTATTCTGCAACCTCGTTCGTACTCAGTTTGGGAAACAGGTACAAAAAATTCAGGCTGATAATGGCCCTGAATTTGCAACCAAGGTGTTGTGCGAATTCTATGAGAATACAGGTATTCTCCTTCAAACTTTGTGCACCGATACTCCTCAACAGAACGGTGTTGTCGAGCGAAAACACCGTCAAATCCTTGAAACAGCACGTGCACTGCGATTTCAAGCCTCTCTACCAATACGGTTCTGGGGTGAATGTGTGCTCACAGCGGCATACTTGATTAATCGGCTTCCTACCACAGCTACAGAAAGAACACCGTATGAGGTCGTGTTTGGCAGGTCAGCCACCTATACTCATCTTCGTGTGTTCGGTTGTTTGGTCTATTGTAAAGATACACATGCAGGGTTGGGAAAATTTTCCGAGCGTGGTCGCGCTTGTGTCTTCATGGGATACGCCGCTAGTCAAAAAGGGTATCGTGCTTATGATCTTTCTTCCCAACGCATGATCACCAGCAGGGACGTCGTCTTCCATGAGACCATTTTCCCATTCCAGGCCAATACTTCCGATCAGTTTCACTGGGTTCCAGGTACAATTTTTGATCGGCAAATTTTTGATGAAGAGGAGATGGTTGCATCTCTGTCGCCCTCTCCTTTAACAGGGTCCCCCGCGAGCCCAGCTTCCTCTGGGTCAGCGCCTAACAATGGGCCCAACTCTGAGTCTCCATTGAGCAATGGGCTTGGTTCAGCCCATCCTTCTCCTGGGCCCACGCAAAAGACTGCATCCAGCACATCTGAGGAGATCCGCACGCCTGGACCCTCCTCTTCGGCCCGTGCTGATTTGTTTGGCGAAGACAGTCCTCCATCCAACATCAATCCGGCTCCTGTTGTTCCACCTCGTCGTGGAGACCGCCATCGAGTGCCACCGAAGCATCTCGATATATATTATACAGGGAATGAAGCTAACTCAGTACGCTATCCCTTGTCTAATCATCTCAACTATGATAAGTTATCCACTAATTATTGTGCTTTTCTTGCAGCGGTTGCTAGCCATCCTGAACCAAGGTCGTTTTATGAGGCAGTTAAAGATCCACGATGGCGAGCAGCCATGTCCGCCGAGGTTCTTGCTCTTGAAGAAAATGGGACTTGGAGTCTCGTTTTCTTGCCTCCTGGCAAACGCGTTATCGACTGCAAGTGGGTTTACAAAGTGAAGTTTCTCCCTGACGGTACTGTTGAGAGATACAAAGCTCGCCTTGTTGCCAAGGGGTACACCCAGGTAGAAGGGATTGATTTTCATGACACTTTTGCTCCAGTTGCAAAATTGGTCACTGTACGTTGTTTACTCGCCGTAGCAGTCAGCAAAGGATGGTTTATTCATCAGTTAGATGTTAACAATGCCTTTCTCCATGGCGACTTGGATGAGGAAGTATATATGCGCATCCCTCAGGGTTTTGCCGCTCCCGGGGAAACTCGAGTCTGCCGTCTAAATAAGTCCCTCTATGGGTTGCGACAGGCTTCGCGTAACTGGTATCATAAGTTTACTGCGGCTCTTCGGGAACTCCAGTTTCGGCCATCACCTGCCGATCATTCTTTGTTTGTCTTTCGCCGGGGGAGTATTCATGTTGTCGCTCTTATATATGTTGATGACGTCATCCTAGCTGGCACTAGTCTTGAGTTCATTTCACAAGTCAAGGCGTTTCTTCATCGTCGGTTCAGCATCAAGGATCTTGGACCTCTGAGGTATTTCTTGGGCATTGAAGTTGCCCCTCCGGAAGGGATGGTTCTCAGTCAGCGTAAATATGCTCTTGATATTCTAGATGATGCTGGTGTCTTAGGGAGTCGTCCTAGTTCTTTCCCGGTGGAACAGAATCATCGACTTACTCGGTCCACAGCGGCCGATCATCCTAATCCAGCTGCTTATCGACGACTAGTGGGGCGGTTACTCTACCTTACAGTCACGCGCCCAGACATTGCTTATGGCGTTAACATACTCAGTCAGTTCGTCCATGCGCCCTCTCAGTCTCATATGGAGGCTGCACAGCGTATACTACGCTACCTCAAAGGAGCGCCAGGTCAAGGTCTCTTCTTTCCTTCTGGCAGTTCTCTAGAGCTCACTGGTTACTGCGACGCAGACTGGGGAGGTTGTCAGTCTACTCGAAGGTCGACAACCGGGTAAGTTGTCACTCTTGGAGGTGTTCCTGTTTCGTGGCGTACAAAGAAGCAACAGGTTGTTGCTCGTTCTTCTGCAGAAGCAGAATACCGTGCCATGGCTAGCACGGTAAGCGAAATTGTTTGGTTGCGATGGTTGCTACAGGAACTTGGTGCTGCACAAACAGGACCGACTACCCTTTTCTGTGACAATCAAGCAGCCCTTCATATTGCTGCTAACCCGGTGTTCCATGAACGCACCAAGCATGTTGAGATGGACTGTTACTTTGTTCGTGAGCGTGTTCAATCTGGTGATATAGCTCCTTCGAAGATCAGTTCTCAATACCAGCTCGCCGACATGTTTACCAAAGGTCTGGGTGCGGAACGTTTCCATTTCTTTCTCTCCAAGCTGCACGTTCGTGATCTTCACGTCACAGCTTGCGGGGGAGTAATGGACAAGGTCCACAGCGATCAGCAGCAGCCCATATCCGAAGCCCAGAAGAAGAAGTCTTCTGCTGCAAAGACTCCGAGTACAATAGTGATAGGGAATGTAGAAGTTCCTTATTGTACAAGGAAACTAATTAATACCCTAGGTGATTGTAAACGCAGGGTATATAATGGTTGTAAGGCCATTGGCCGTGAATCATCAGTGAAATAAGAACAAACTGGAGAGACGAGCTCTCCCGTGGACTAGTCCCGACATTCGGGGATACCACGTAAATCCTGTGTCTTTTATTATTCCGCAAATCGTTCTTACAATTTTATTAGCCTTTGCCTTCTCGATTGAGGTCGGGGAAGCTCGATCCCTAGCCTTCTCTCGCACCTTGTCTGTTGCTGTCTAGGTGTGTGTCCGGAACCAGAAACAGTCACTGCCGACTGAACTAGAACCTTGAATCACCGCAAGAGGAAATCAATAAGGAAACAACTTGTGTGGGGAGAGACGTCGGAGGTCCGTTACCAACTCTTTCAGTCGCATTCCTTTCTCCCTCAGAGGCGCAAATCGTAGAGAGAAGAGAACATCGCCGACGTTTCATTGCATTTTTTTGGGCGATGAAAAAAGATAGGGAAAGCTGAACGAGGAATTGACTCGGGGAGAAGGGTGAAGAGGAGCACATCGGGTTAGGAGTTGAATTGGGTTATTAGGTTTTGACGTGGTGGGTTTTTATGACGTGGCGAGTCGGTTTTTTATTTTTGAGGTTAAAATTTGCTTATTAGACACTTTTGTTAGCAACGTCAGCACTTAACGGAATCTTTTAACGGAAGCTAACATAGAGTGACCAAACTTGAACTGTTAAACTAATTATAGTGACCACGAATGAAATTAAGTAATTTTAGTAGCAAGTGTGAACTTTTTTAGCAATTCTAGTGACCAAACTTGCAATTTACCCCATAGTATATATATGCAAACACACTGTACGTTTAGCCTTATCATATTGTTCATATAATTGCAGCGGAATTTAACTTGGGTGTTACGTTAATTCCTAAAATTGACCCAACTAAAATTTCGACATGAATTACTCACGTAATGGGCTAACTGTTCTTGCAACTAATCCTGCAAAATCATTTATCTGAATCCCTGCATTCATAGAAGACATACATATATACTCACATCCATATACATTAGCTATTCATAGCCATAGTCACTGTTTCATACTCCACCACTGCATACCAAACTTATACATGCCATAATCTTCACAACTTACACAACCACACAAATATATACATATCATCAACTTTCACATCTGTGTATATCTCACACTACATCAAAAGCTAGTATGCACATAAAAGAGGGTCAGCTTTTAGTTGAGTGAGACAATCATTGCATCGTGAGTGCATAACAAAGGATACCCCTATCATACATCTAGCAATGAATCCAAAACACTAGGATCAGACCTCAGCCATCCGACATCCCAATAGGCAAAAGACTCAACCACATTAACTTATGCATATGCGTCTTATCATATTTTATTTATAGGCGCCTAATTCTACTCCCATGCTAATAACTCTCTTGGGAAACACCCCACATCACGTAGGATGTAGTCATACATACTCCAACATCCCATCGGATGTGTTCATACATACCCCACACCACTATGGGTGTAGTCATACCCCGACACCACTCTGGGTGTGGTCATATCTCGTGAGAAATCTTCAGTCAACACCACATGAGAGATGTGACTATCATACATACCATAATAGAGTAATAGCATAGGGATCCCTAATTACTATGTAATTGACCATGATACAATAACACTCTTGTTTGGTATCCTTATACATGATTTATGTCTCATCTTGCTTAATCTTAAATCGTTACTTGCACATGAACTTGACCTGGCCATAATTGGCTCAATATAGGTAAACCAGGAGTCGTATAATTGCACTTCCGCGGGATAAACCATCGTGCAAGTCATCCTACTTAAACATCATAATATCACCATGGGAAGTAAATTTTCCCACTTGTGAGTCCAAATACAACAATCATGAAAAATGATACTCAATCACCTTCTCGAACCATCATAAGGCATATCAACAGTTAAGTCCACAAATGGCAAGATATATGCAATCATCAACATAAACAAGGTCCATAAGGATTAGGGCAAGACAATAATAGCATATAGCACTCAAGGGTTCATCATATAGCACAAAAGTTCATACGCCCCTAATTATGTCAATTTAGTTCACCTAGGTCAATTCTAAGCATCAATATTATTGTCGTGATACAATAAACCCGGTATGCCATGCTAATTCCTCACCGGTTCTGGTCGTTCAAACACAAGTTTTAGCCTCCCGTACTAAAACGTTGCTTTACTCAAACAAACTCGGAATCAAAATCTGAAACCGTCCTAATACCCCATTGTCGTAAGAAGCTCGTATATGAAATTCGGGATTAATCCGGGTTTCGGATCATCCAAAACTTAATTTCCTTCGATCTGAAGAAATTACTGACCCAAAACTTTGTTACAAACCTTGAAATCGATGAACTAGACAATATGGAAGGATCACGTACCGATTATGGGATTTTCGGATTCCTTAAACCCTAGAACCAATCTCTACGATTTACTCCCGGACCTCCCCTGTCTCTAGACTTTGTCCCTAGGTCGTGAAAATGGAATAGTGAGAACCGAAGGAAAAAAGAAAGGTATATATATAAGTTGAGGGAAAGGTGGGTGGTAACTGTACTTATCCTAGCCGGTTCACCTCTTTTTATTTTCATTTGTTTTCCCTCTGGCGATTCCTCTCCCGCGACACACATATGTGTTTTAAAAGAATAATTAACCTACAATTAATTTATAGATATATGTACTAATCGACGTGTATCCGATCGTAGGATATTTCGATTTTCGTCGAAATACTTGATTTAAATCACATATTCTCTTAAAGACCGAAATACGAATTTAATCAAAACGGAATGTTACAATTATATTCTTGGTTTATCCCGAACCTATATTGTGTTAGAGCGAGCATTGTGCTTTAATCCTAAAACATATTTTATCTTGCCAAAGGTTCAGGCTTAGTAAAGAGAAACAAATAAGTCCAGTTCAACAAAAAGGATAAATTTGGAGTTTTCTAAAACGCTCACAATCCATGAGTGCCAATACATGATTAGATGGCTGACAAGTGACACCTTGTAAATACGTTCTCACAATAGCCTTGTAAGCACTATAGTACATAATAAGTTGGCGAAAATATCAAATATTTAGAGCAAGAGTTTAAGAGTGAGAAAGCATCGATAATCAAAGGATCGGAGTAATAAGCAGAAACAAGATAATTAAGGCGAAACACATAATTAATTATCATATTTGAGTTGGGTTTGGTTTGGTTTGGTTTCACTTTCAGGTGGAGAAGAGTGTGTGGAGATTGAAAGGCCTGATTGTTGAGTTGCGGCCAGCCCAGAGGGCCTTGGAGATGCGGCTGTAAGTGTGCTCCGACGGATGGAAGTAATCCCAAAACATGTACTCTCGCGGGTTCCCGCACTCTTTGTACCCTTCCTTCCCACACTGCACCATCCCTCCCAGCGTCCCCTCCCCACAACAAGCGTTGCGAACATCCTTGAAACCTGCCATTTGCCAAGCCATGCCCACACACACACCACTACTTTAATTCTTTATTTCACAAATCATAATGAATGAATTAATTAAGCTCTTACCGTATCGAGGCGGGTCCTCTCGGAACCGCTCCACCAAGTGGAAAACGTCCCCGAACACGGCTACGGCGCCGGGGTAGTTTGCGGGCACGCCCTTCACCAGATCCTCCAGCCCGGAATTGTAGATCCGTACCATGGAGTTCATCTCCTCGTAGCACTTGTCGAGGGGCGCGCCAGGGAGCAGGGCCCTGGCCGGAACGCAGCCGACGGGGCCAAGGGAGAAGACGGCGATTCTGCGGCCGCCCACCCGGTAGATTCGGGAGATGAAGCTCGATACCTGGGCCAGCATGGACCTGACCATGGCATCAGGGTCCAGGCTCGGCGGGGCCAAGGGGAGGAAGTAGTTGAAGATGTCGTTGGATCCCGATTCCAGCAAGAAGATGGACTGCCGGATCTCGGGGGTCTGGAATTGCTTCTCTTGGATTAGGGCTTCGAATTGCTGCAGCTGCTCCTCAATTGCAGTCACTCCCTGCCACCCCCATCAATCAATTTTAAATTATATTATATATAGGTGGTTTGGTTTGGTTTGGTTTGGTTTGAATGCAGCAGTTGGAGTTTGATGGGATGCAATCGATTCAAATGAGCGGCCGTTTAGTGATGCAGAGTAGCAAGCAAACCATAAATTGAATCCAGTAACTAGCGTCAGGCCCGGCCCGTTGGCCGGGTATTTAATTATTAAGTATTTTATTTGTGTTGCTAATTGTATATATATCATATACACATTAATTAGCAATATATATATATATATGTTCACAAAGAAATTATTTATTATATTTATCATATTTGTTGATCACGACATAGGTTATAGATATGATATTGTATGATTTGATAGGGCACATTGCATAGTGATAATCACAAATGAAGGACCAAATTCCAAATCTTATATTATGCTTGGTAAGTTCCAAATTCACTTCATAAGCACATAATACTATGAGCATAAGTCAACTACTTCAATAAACTGAAAGCTAAATATCATGAAAATCTTATGATTACACGATGACTAAAAGAGACGGATTTTTTAAATCTCGCACCAAAAGATAAGTTTGATAACATATTCAACAAAATTGTTGTAATCCTTCCCACAATAGGTCAAGGAGCCAGACTCATCCCAATTTCAAATCTTATGATATTGTCGCAAACTGACCTCGAAACAGGGGTTGCTCGTGTTCTTTTCAGAGTCCCCATCGAACTTAGCTTGTAGTTGTTTTGGTATGATCTTAACCTTAGGGTGAAAACCAAAACTTGATCTATGAATTCAAGTTATAACTTCGAGAGTACAGCTATGTGTGGAGAAATGTATTCACACCATGTAGCGACATAAATTGATACTTTTTAAATTGATTTTTGTTAATTTTAAGTGCATCATTACTTTACTTATTTAATTAGGCTAATTTAGGATTAGATAATAGATATTTTTAAAAGGAAAGAGATTTGAGACTTTAAAAATCCCAAATGAATCTATGAATTTGGGTCATCTCCCGTTTGCGGTCGTGGCAATTAAGATGCTTCCTAACTAAACGCACCGACCCATTTAATTGTGTCAATGTTAAAGGACTATAACATCCTTTTGTGAATTAATGGAAAGGCAGCAAATTCAAAATGGGAGAAATCCAACCTATAAATTTGCTTAATGCATTTTATAGATTAACCGATCTTATATTGATTAAGTGCCATATTGGTTTTTTTTTATAAAGCCATTTTTGTATTGTTGATCTTGTAGGTGGTAAGTAATTTTGTATTATGATATAGTTATTAATTATTAAGATAAACCCATCAATCAAGTGGGCAAAATTTAAAGCCCATCCATGTAAAAGTAAAATAACTTGTATGAGAAGGGGAAAAATTCTAAAACATTGGCCTAAAAAATCAAAACTCGTTAATGTAGGAAAAAAATAGCGATTTTTCCACCAAAAACAAAATAGCTACTTATGTTTTAGTGGTGTAGTGGGTTAGTAGGACCAATAAAGAAGGGAAAAAGAGAATGGGGGACAAATTCTAGTGGAAGTTGTCTGTGAAAATAGTTGAGAGGAATGGATAAATTAACCCATTCGAAATGTATAGTATGAGCAGCGATGTCTGATGTGGCAACATCTAATTTTTAATATTGGCTCATAGGTATGTGTAGATTTCAGAAAAAAAAAAAAAAAGGGTGGGTAAGAGAAGGAAGGAATAGGAAGGATTACTCTACTCTACTCTACTTACCAAGTCTTGGTTAGTGGCGGAAAGGACACCACTGCCGGCGCTAGCAAAGTTGAGACCATTGGAAGGGTAACTCTTCCAACTACCGTTCAAAACCGCACTCTGCGCCTCCAGGAACGGCATCTGCAGCCCCATTCCCATAAATTGACCTGAGTGCAGTCCCATCCCATGCCCACAAAAATGTCAACCAAGTAATCAATTAATTAATTGACGGAAGCGGGAGTCGACGGACTCACAAATGAAATCCACAACGGTACGCCCGTTGGTGAACCTGCCGGTGGGGTAGTGGAAGTAAGAAGAGCCATAGGGAGGGAAATCGGCCTGAGCGGTGCACTTCTTCTTGAAATGGTTGTTCCCGCCGTCAAAGATGGAGTCACCGAACGTGAAAACCGTCGCCGGAGCCACCAAACCCAACGCACATGAGAAGCAGGCCAGGTAAACACCCAGAGCTGCGGTCGTCATTATTGATTTGTGGCTGGGCGCTTGCTTCAACGTTAATGTGACAAACTGAAACTGAGTGGTCACGTTACGTTATATAATGGCCTGGAGAGGGAGGGAGGGATGTCCAATTCGGCCAAACAGGTGAAACAGAATGCCCACGAGCAACATGCACCAGAAATTCCCCAATAATAGTGTAACAGAGTCGGCTTGGAAACCACTTGTCATTCAAACTTAACACTACGTTTCTGCTTTCTCGACTCGCACTTGTCAAGCAAACGATAAGTCACTTTTTAGTTTTCTTGTTTTTTTTATTCTATTGAATGTTCTGTTCTATTCAGAAATCAGTCAAATAAAAATAATACTATAGTAGTAGTGTATGTGACTATGTATAAACCGAGAACCAACCAAGGGGGAAAGGCTCATTACTTTTCTGGAAATATTATGAACGGGTGAAATTCATATGTCAAATCGTTAATATATATTGAAGTATTCTACTGAATATGTATACCAAGTATAGAATTCTCAGTTTCAAAACTAATACTAATTTTTAGATGCACCACAAATTCATCATATTATAGGGTTAATTGTATGGTTGGTCATTGAGATTACAAAAAACGTTCAAGTTTGGTCACTCGAAATATTTAAATCCATTGGTGGTACTTCACCTTAGTGAAACCGTTCACGTTTGGTCACTCTCCGTCCAACTCCGTTAACTTTTGCTTACGTGGCGGTCAACCCCAAAAATTGGGATTTTTTTTCAGAAATACCACTGTTTTAAAAAAAGAATTCCAAAAATACCATCAAACCCCAAAAAAGTCCAAAAATACCACCTTTTTCAAAAACCGCCACCCCACCCTGCGGTTTACACGAAAACCGCTTGTCGGGGGTGCGGTTTTCTATGCAAACCGCGGGCCTAGGGGGCGGTTATAAAAAAAATAAAAATTTGGACAAAACTGCTGGGTGGGTTGGCGGTTTGGCCCAAAACCGCCACCCCACCCAGCGGTTTGGTCCAAATTTTTTTTCGATCAACTCCTAACTTCGGCCGAAACTTCAAACGAACGTAACTTTGCACTCGGGTATCCGATCGTAGCGATTTTTTTTTCATTTCGCATAACTTTTCAAGATCTACAACTTTTACTAGGATAAAATTTTCAAAACAGGGACTATTTGTGGATATACGGGACCTTGAGAATAACTTTACCTTTACTTTTCACGAATCCATGTACATTTTGAAACTATGATTATATTAAAAGTTATAGATTTTGAAAAGTTATGCGGAATCAAAAAAAATTCATAACATTCGAATTTTGAAGCACAAAGTTATGGCCGCCCAAATTTTGACGAAAGGCGAGACCCGGCGTTATGCAGCTTGCAAGATCTCAAAAAGTTTGCGGCCTCCATTTTTTGAATCCGAATAACTTTTTGAGATCTTGCAAGCCGCAAACCGCCGGGTCCCACCTTCGTCTCGAAAAAACGTAATTTGCCACCCCGAACGAGGCTTTTTTTGATTTCGTCAAACTTTGGGCGGCCATAACTTTGTGCTCCAAAATCCGAATGTCATGAATTTTTTTTTTATTCCACATAACTTTTCAAGATCTACAACTTTTAATATAATCATAATTTCAAAATGTACATGGATTTGTGAAAAGTAAAGGTAAAGTTATTCCCAAGGTCCCGTACATCCACAATTAGTTCCTGTTTTGAAAATTTCATCCTAGTAAAAGTTGTATATCCTGAAAAGTTATGCGAAATGAAAAAAAAAATCACTACGATCGGATACCCGAGTGCAAAGTGACGTTCGTTTGAAGTTTCGGCCGAAGTTAGGAGTTGATCGGAAAAAAAAAAAAATTGGACCAAACCGCCACCCCACCTAGCGGTTTGGTCCAAATTTTTTTTTTATAACCGCCCCCTAGGCCCTCGGTTTGCATAGAAAACCGCGCCCCCGACAAACGGTTTTCGTGTAAACCGCAGGGTGGGGTGGCGGTTTTTGAAAAAGGGTGATATTTTTGGAATTTTTTTTTAAACAGTGGTACTGTAACACCTTAGGCGAATCCCACATCGACAAAGCACGGGAGAGATCCATGGTTCATAAGTAGGAAACCGACCTTAACTTATAAGACGCGTTTTGGGGTGTAATGGAAGAGTTCTTGTGAGAACTCCGAAGTTAAGCGTGCTCGGTGCAGAGCACAACAAGGATGGGTGACCTTACGGGAAGTCACCCTGAATTGCACCCCAAGTCGAAAACCGTGCGGGTGTAGAGGCCCAAAGCGGACAGTATCTTGTCGGGAAAAGGTTCGGGATGTTACAAGTGGTATCAGAGCCTCTCTGCGTCCCTCTTGAACGATGGTGGGGCAAACCTCAATGAGGACGTTGAGTCCCGAGGGGGGGTGTATGTAACACCTTAGGCGAATCCCACATCGACAAAGCACGGGAGAGATCCATGGTGCATAAGTAGGAAACCGACCTTAACTGATAAGACGTGTTTTGGGGTGTAATGGAAGAGTTCTTGTGAGAACTCCGAAGTTAAGCGTGCTCGGTGCAGAGCACAACAAGGATGGGTGACCTTACGGAAAGTCACCCTGAATTGCACCCCAAGTCGAAAACCGTGCGGGTGTAGAGGCCCAAAGCGGACAGTATCTTGTCGGGAAAAGGTTCGGGATGTTACAGGTACTTTTTGATTTTTTCCCAAAAATTGCCCGTTAAATGTGTTACGTGGCAATTTAAAAATAATAAAATTAAAATTTTCAAAATTGTCATCTCATTTCCACCTCATTGTCACTTTTATTTAAAATAAATAAAAAAAATCTAATTTTTTCTAATCCCCAATATCAATACCATGCCGCTCACATACTCCTGTCGTCGCTACCGCTTCCATTGTTGGGCTTCCTTCCCACAGGACCGGAAATCTCAACAATGGAAGCGGCAGCGACCGCGGAGTATGCTGCCTTCACATATACATATATGCCGTTGATTTGTACTGGTCCAAAAATATGCAAGCGCAACTGCCGCTTCAATTCATTTGCATGCCCAGCTGCTAGTTAAATCCCTCCCTGCCACTGCCATAACTAACAGCGAACTAAATTGTTTTTGGGAACTACAACGAAATAAATAAAATGAATAATAAACATATTATTATTATATGCCTCAGCCCTTAGCATCACCATCTCCATTGTACGCATAAAGAGATGTCACTCCATTTTAAGTTGTTGCTTCTGTTGCTGAGGTATGGGTCCTGTAGTTGCAGTCTTGCAGAAACACTTGTGTTTTTCATTCCTTCTCCTCCTGCTCGAAGACTGCCCATTGATTTCATCCATTCCCAGCAGCTTACGACCTCCCCATCGATCTGATATCCTCAATCAAAGATTCCAGATTCCAACCCGACAATCCGTCCAAATTATCACTCCGTCTCGCCAGCGACGGCAGGGTATGCTGCCTTCCATTGTTGAGATTTCCGGTCCGGTGGGAAGGAAGCCCAACAATGGAAGCGGCAGCGACGATGGGGGTATGCTGTCGGGGGTATTGGTATTGGGGATTAGAAGAAATGAGCATTTTTTATTTATTTAAAATAAAAGTGATAATGAGGTGGAAATGAGATGGCTATTTTGAAAATATAAATATTATTATTTTTAAATTGCCACATCACACATTTAACGGTCAACTTTAGAGTTGACCGCCACGTAAACAAAAGTTAACGGAGTTTGACGAAGACTCGAAGAGTGACCAAACGTGAACGGTTTCACTAAACTGAAGTACTATTAATGGATTTAAATATTTCGAGTGACCAAACTTGAACTTTTTTGTAATCTCTGTGACCAACCATGCAATTAACCCTAATATTATATTTGAAATTTTTGTATGTCACCAGTATTATGAAAGGTTTTAAACCGGTTAATCATCGATTATCCGATAAACCTTAAATCTCTCACCAATCTAGATCGTTGTCCGGTCCGATCTTGACAACATTGCGCAGAAGAGCCTTGTTATTCGATTCGCAATTAACCACAAATCGCACGATTCCGATACAATTAGCAATTTAAACACAAAACCGCAACCGTATGGCCTTCCACAACAACCAAAGTCATCGCGGAAAAAAGAGAGCCCGATTTGTTATTCCAGTCGGAAATTTTGTATCCTTTTCTTTGCTTTACAACCAATGCAAACGTCCTTCCTTCCGTAGGGAATTAAAGCCAAAATTGAGGGAAAAAGGCTCCGATTTTCCACGAAAGATGTGTTAATCCCTGACGTAATACATTTCAACAAGTTCCTGCAAAAGCCAATCTCGAAACATGGAACATCGCTTCTTTCCGGAAGTGGGGAACAAAAAAGACAACAGGATAAATCAAAGAAACTCGGGGTAAGAAGAAAAACAAGAAAATGCATGCAATTGCTTCATACGGTCTCATCCCTTATCCTCTTTGCAAGTACTAGCCAACATATACACACCATCAAATGAAGTTGGAAAGAAAGAGTGGCAACGTCACATACAACAAACTAGACAGATCAAGAATGGCACACTAGTAATCATTCCTCATCAGACACCACAACCACAACCACGCCGGCTGAAAATCCAAGCTACCCCAACAAACATGACATTAGAAAGCTTATATATGATGAGAAAAGGCTGCAAAACCAATCAAGTAAAACCACATACCTACACAATTATTATTATCATTGCTTGTAATAGCCCCCGCCGCTGCTGCTGCCGCCTTGGTAAGGAGGATATGGACCAGGAACTGTGTAGGGAGGGCGTGGCATTGACCCTTGTTGTTGCTGCTGCTGTGCATTGTTGTAGTATGGGCCACGCCATCCCGGATACGCTGGTTGCCCATACTCTTGCCCTGGTTGCAGTGGCTGCTGCTGCGGTGGGTAAGGAGCGCCAGGTGTGGGATGAGGGATGTGATAAGGAGGTGGCGTCTGGGAAGTGCTGTATGGGGGCGGAGGATGTGCATATCCTGGCATTGGTGACTGTTCCTGCTGGGGTTGATGATAGTACGGGGGGGTTTGTTGCGAGTGACCATGCTGATGCACGTTCTGTGGATCAGCTGGTGGAGACCTCTGATGGTTCACCGGGGGATAGTTGTTGTAAGGAGCTGGTGATGGCGATGATGTGTTCTTGCGATCCTGGAAACTCAATCCTGCCACCTGTCTTTGTACATCTTCCATCATTTCCCGGCACTGGATGCTCCTTGTCATCACAAAATCGCTGCTCTGCTGCTTTATGTTGGTTATTGCATCCTGTGGTCAGTCATAAAAGTGAAAAAAGGTAAATGAATATCAAATATCAACACATCTCTTGATCCAGCAACTTCATAATAGTAATTCACAAATAAGTGTATTTCAGAAATGATGGACGAATGGTTTACCTGAAGAGTGACATAGAACTTCAATCCTTCATTGATGTTGTCCTTGATTTCTCGATATTTTGCAACTGCAGCTTGTATTTGCTTATAGCACTTCTCACGAGATGCTGATATAAAATCCAGAAGGAAAAAAGCTTGTCAACAGGTTGAAACTGGATATTCAGAGAATGTCATAGCAATGAAACTAAGTACAGCACAGTTAACAAACTAGCAAAGGGCTAATATCCTATTGACGAAAAAATTCACATTGCAGTATCACACCCAATGGTAACACCGATGCATTAAAAAAGACAGGACAGATACATGGACTGAATGCCAGCTGCCGAAAATTCTTGGAGCAGCGCTTACCATGAGAAATCAGTCAATATTTACACTCCATTCGAGCCGAATTTTTTGTTTCATAATTTTCAAGCTTAGTGTGCATGCTAATAGTTATCAGTCATATAATGACACAAATTAAGGTTTGGCAATTTCAGACAAGGACTTGATATCTGAGGAAATACTGAAATAATACCTCTATAGTCTTCAAGATTGAAGACAGCTGAGAACTGTTCATTTTGAGCCTGAATCCAAAAGAAGAGTATATATGTCAATCTTTTGAGAAATACAGCCAACTATCAAGCAACTGCCTCAAGAAAGTAAGGATCAAAGTTCTCCTAGGAAAATACGTACACAAGACATACGTCCGTACAATCAAATTCTCATCATACCAGATATCATCGACAAGAAAAGGAAGTTCAAACCCAAAAAAAAAAACATAGATATGCCGTTACTATCCAGAACTTCATTACTGAAAGAAGTTTGCAAAGGTAAAAATGGGGGGAAAAACACGTATGGAAGCAGATATCGATTATTTCAAAGAGGAATGGACCTGAATATGAAACAGCAGCTGTTCCTGTGCCTCTATATTGTGGCCAATGTCCTGGCAAATGCTATCATACTTTGCTATCTCTTTTCTGAACAGATCGTCATGAGACCCCGTGGACGTCATCAACTTTGGTAAAATGTCATCCTGGAACAAGAACATACAGGCTAAGCATAAGAAAGCACTAGATACGTAGGGATGTACAGTTCATATTATAGCATGTGCGTACATAAATAACCTCATGAATATTGTCCATCTACAGTACTCTAGTTTGGTAGTCAGGGTTTGACATATGATCCAGATAAACATGAACTAATGCTCAACAATGAACGCAAGAAACATTCACCACTGATTCCAAGTGCCAGTCTCGTAAACCCTCGTATTCGAGAAATTATCATGACTTCAAAGACATTCACACACAGGTTATAATCATTTCACAACATTAAGCTTCGTAGAAAGTAAACCATCTAGTCTCTGTCCAACCTTTCTTTTCATCTCTTTGAGCATATCTTCAAGACCAGCCCGTTGAGCACCAAGATTCTCCAATTGCCTCTACATGTATGAAAGTACAGAGATTAAGCTATTTGTACATCGTAATATTAGTTTTGGAAAGCACAGAGCAAAATACTGCAAGAAACTTCATTAGCAACACAGTTCAGGATACTGGAAGAGAACTTTGATGCTCGATAGGCAAACAGACATCAAGGTTCTTTAAAAGTGATAAATGATATGAAGTTTCACTATTTATGCCTTCTACATAACCATTATGCTTCTTTTTAAACATTGAACTTATGGAATTGTGTGTTTAGATATTTCAATCCATCCCTGGCCAGCATGTTAGTCTTAAGCATTTGCTGGTGTCACACCAGATCCAGAGTTTTTCCAGGACAAGTTCTCAACATAAGAGAATGAAAGGAAGGTGATGACCATAAGTTCTCTTGAGATTGCATAACCATTTATCTCAAGGCCACAAGATATAGTATGAGCATGACTCCACTAGCTAATAAAATCCAATTTCAGAGCAAATCAGAAAGCATTGAAGTCGCTGTAGCAGCTATCAAGAAAATATTGCAATTTAACTTCAAATGCAGATTGAAGTATGCATCTCATTTGCAACAATAAAATCCTGAAAATTACATTGACCATACGCTTGAATAATAGCAACAACAGGATGTATGTCCGATTGTCCGGTCATTCTTTTCCATGACCAGCAGTTTGCTATGGATCATACAAAAGAAAGGAAGATAAACATGATCTAAAATTCCGCAGAATCAATAAGAGAAAGAAGATATCATACCAAACTCTGTTTAAGAGCCCCTACTATGGCATCCTCGTTTGCATCCAGCGACATAATTGGCCGAGACAAAGTAGGAAGTGCAGATTCTATCTGGTAGAGCATAGTGCATACAAGTCAAAAGTATAGATAGCACCAGAAAGAAGAAACCCAAAGAAGAAGGGATCTTAGATCCAAATCAAACAACTGTTAACTCAGCTACTAAGTCGAGCAAATTCATCACCATGAGGGATTGTCCAGTAAAAGAGAAAACAAAGAAAACATCCACATGTATGAACGTAGGAAGAAAAAGAAAATCCCAATTATATCAACAACTGAAGCTCAATAACTCATAGAGTAATTAAGTAAATTAGTAATTATGTGGCAAAAAAAAAAAAAAGTAGTATAATTTCAGGAAGGCACCATCATTATTTTATATATGTATAAACAGTAATTGGATGTTATACATGCATAAACAGTAATTGGAATACAAGATAGAGGAAGGCATACCGGACGCTTATCAAGTATGGCCATATGACCATAGTTGTCCCTGACTGAGCGCTCAATTCTAGCATCACTTTCGGCAGCTTGTTTTAAGTTCCCAGCAAACCTGTTCAACCTATCCAGCAAGTTCTTTGTCAATGTACTCGAATGAGGCCTAGTCCATCGAGTGCCAAATTGGCTTCTAAATTGAGAATCCTCTGTAGCTTCCTTTTGCAGAAGTTCCTCAGTCTGAATTAATAGTTCTTGGTTCACTCTTCGCAAGTCCTTTAGTTGCTGTAGCTCAGCTTCCAAGCCAGTTGGACCACCGCTAATCTGCACTGCTTCAACATCTTCTTTAAGATCTTGAGGCAATGTGACACTCCCTTCTAAGACAAGAATAGAGTCTGGAAGATCCATTTCCTTCAATCGCACTCTTGCAAGTTCACTCCCCTGTTGCAATTTCTCAGCTTGTGTCCTGATAACGTCGTCAACCATTTCAGTGTACCTGGAAAGAGCTTTAGCACTATTATCTGGTACCAGACTAGCAAACATCTTCTCCTTGCTTGCATCCAGCACATCATTCATAGGCAACGGCTTCACCATAGAAAATGATGGGAGGAGGGGCAAAGAATGAGGTGATGGAACTCTCATGAGGTATACTCTATCATTCTCTTTTACAGCCCTCTCTAAATTCCGATTAATATTGGCTTCAAGCTTGCTAATAGCATCCAGAAGCTGCGCTGCAGCCCCTCTCGAGTTTTTTTTGGCTTCAGCCAAGGCACTCACCGCCGTTCTCAACCGCGCAATTTCTTCAGCAATTTCTTCCTTCTCATGGAGCTCTAAACTGTATCGGTAGCAAGCCTCAGCAAAGAATAGAGCTGCTTTTAGCTGGACATGAGCAATCCATGCTCTATCAAAATGATCTTTCAGAGGAGCAACATTCAATGCTGCAAAAGCTTCCTCATAGTATATCCCAACCTGTTGTTATATACCGATGCTAAATTAGTTAGAGGACTAGAAGAACATCATAAAAGTAGGACATAGAAGCAACTGAAATATCATCCCACACAGTACTTCTTGGACAGGATAAGGAAGGAGCACAAATAGGAAAGATCTTCCTCCCCACAAAATCAAAGCTCCCTGCTTTATAGCGAGACCATTAATGACATCATTGTGATACAAGTGGCAGTTTCTATAGTGTAATTTTAACTCTCAGCAGTGAGATGGAAGAACAAACATATGCGGACCTATAACTAAGCATTATGATTAGAATATGTCGGATAATCACACAACGTCAAAATGAAATGTTCTCCACCAACTGCTGCTGCATCTAGAACACTAAGCTAAGACTTCATTACCAGTTCGTGACCACCCGATCACTTGGTCCAAGTAACCCACCTACCTTTCAACTCCGGCGAGTACTCTCAGGGGTCAACATTCCAGCCTAAGTTCCAGACCAACTAAACACTAGAGTGGCTGAATACTCTCCCAATTAATGTCAGTAGATCACCTAACCAGACCATAAGAACTCAGAATTTCAACAATCATCCTCATCACAGAAACTAACCAGCAGCCTCACCACCAATCAATTTGACTACAGAAAATGAAACGGAGAAACCTAAAAAAAAAACCACGAACCTGCCTCGAAATCTTAGCACAAACCCCAGGAGTACTCCCTTTGGCAATGGTATTCTCAAACACGCACTCTTGCGCTTGTGCCAGCATAAGCCGCTCCAACATCCCGGCACACTCCACCGAGACATCCACAGTAGTGCTGGACCCCATGGAAGCCTTGGCCGACGCGTTATCCCTCAGGTACGCAAACGCGCCGGCGGCGGCAATAAACGCGTGGATGGCCTGCTTCCGGCCTTCCACAGTAGCGCGATCATAGGAAAGGCCGATCTGGCTGTAGACGGCCCCCAAATTGAAGAGGACGGCGGCCTTCTCCAGATGGATGCTCTGCTGGGAGGCCTTGAGCTTGTTCTTGAAGGCGTCGTGCCAGACGAAGGTGAGGGTGTTGACGTGATCCTTGTCAGATGAGATAGGGAATCGAGTCTCGACGAGGCAGAGGACCTTGTAGTAGGTCTGGAGAAGGTCGCGGCGGGCGGTAGGGGAAGGATCGGACTGACGCTCGAGATCGGAGCGGTACTGCTTGAGAGTCTGGAGGTCGTCCTCGAGGTTCTGGGCTTCGCGCTCGGAGTAGACGAAGGTGATGTAGTTGCGGAGGGAGCGGTAGAGATCGATGGAAGTGGTTTTCTTCTCGTAGATAGCGAGCATGATGTTGGTGGTGGCAGGGGACGAGGATTGGGCGGCCATGGCGGACGAGGGAAGAGGAGGAAGATTGAGGAACGATTTGGGGGGAAATTGGAGGGTAGAAGAAAATTTCGTGATGGTGGTATCCGGCAATTGACTGACTTAGTTAATACTAATAGTATGTATGCTTATTAATTCTGGTATTAGGTTTCCTGTTTCCTTTGCAGCTAAGGAAACAGCTGCAGACGGTTGAGAGATGGAAATTTGAGGAATGTGGGCACTGGACAGCGAACGAGTTGGGAACGAGACGAAGAAGGTCGCGGGGTTTTTTTCTTTTTTCTTCCATCAATAATTTATTTCTTGTTTGTCAAAAAAATAATTTATTTCTTACAATTCCAATAAACAATTTCTTTCTTTGAGAAATAACGAGGAAAAATGTTAGAGTGTTAATATGGTATTAATATTAGTTCCTGTTGGGCATATGACTCGGATCCCGCCGCGCCAAAGAAACACCGACATCAGAGGAGTTGGGCGCGTTAGTGCCGAAGCGACCAGAAAAGCACACCGGCGAGCGCCACCACCAAGAGCGTCGGGCGCATCAGTACCGACGCGAGCGAGCACACCGGCGAGCGCCAATACCAAGAGAGTCGGGCGCATCAGCACCGACGCGACCGAGGACAGCCCGAACACCAAACGACGACGTTCGAGTCCAGCGTTGACCAAATTAGCGAGTGTGGGAAAACGACGCCGCGTTCCACCCGCCGAGTGGTCACATCATAGTCCTAGTCCTAGGTATAATAAAAGGCTAAATGTACTTATCCTAGGTAGAGGTATGTACTATGTAGGGCTGGTATGCGGTAGGCCGGTTAACGGTTTAACCGATAACCGTACCGGTAACCGCAGTTATCGGTTAAACCGTTAACCGTGAACAACGGTATACGGCAGGGGGCAGATGGCCAACGGTATATCGGGACCGGGAATGCACCTTACCGACGGCTGGCCGGTTATCCGATACTGGAATCTGAATGGTGATGCCGCTCCATAAATCCCCAACCCTAGCCTATTCTAATTAGGAATAGGAGTAAATAAATGTAAGTCTGTAACATATTAAAACTTAAAAGTAAATTAATTTCTTATTTCGACCCAACCCCGCTCGTCCGCGTTGGCGTTGGAGCTTTCCCGCTCGACCAAGCCGCCCAACATCTCGTCGGAGTTCAAGTTAGAATCAATTAACTGATTAAGTGTGATTTGTTAGATTTGGCCAAGTTGGAACAATTAATTAACTGATTATTTTTCGTGTGTAGAAGGGGAGCAAAGGAGTTGCACTCTGTTTTCTTGCTTTGTTAGGCTTTAGCTTCTTTCTTTTGTTTTGTTGTTTGGCTGTTTGCTGGTGGACGGTGAACCCCATTGCATTTGCATAGCCAGCTGCCCACCACCTAGTCATTGAAGTCTCTTGTTGTGAATTTGTTAATTCGGCAAACGGTGTACCGAATAAAAAACCGGGGAACATTAATTCGGTAACCGGTGTACCGACCATCACTCGGTATCGGCAAACGGTGGCGAACATGGGGTTCCGGTATTACCGGTAACCGTCCAAATAGTAACCGGTTTAACCGATTACCGACCGATTACCACCCCTAGAGGTATGGTCTAGTCCTCTGACATGTCAGTAGTCATGTCACCATGTAACTCACCCACCACCATGTAGCCTATAAATAGGGCATTTACTCCGGTGGGTGAGAGAGATCGGATTTTGGAAACTCTATCTCTAAGAAAAAGAACACACTTCTCTCTCTAAAAGTCACTCTCTCAACTCCTTCCTTCCTTTCCTTCCTTCCTAAGCTCCAGGCTGATTCCTGTTGCTCATTCTCCTCGACCCATTTCAAGTGAATCTCACTCCTACACTCAGTTAGGTTCAAACAATTGGTGCCCACCGTGGGGCTGAGTAGAAAAAGCAGCAGAAATCTAACCAATGGCAGAGCCCAACTCCAACTTTCCCGACGAGGTAACACCCATAAAGGCCATGACAACCCCAAGGGCATTCGCCGAAGGCAGCAACCTTAACGCGGTGCTCGTTGAGGAAGAAGAGCCCGAGCTGACAGCCAAGGAAATGAAGCAGCTAATGGCAAAGCAAAACAGTGTCATAGCCGACATGCAAAAACAGATGAGCCAAGTCCTTGCGCTCATGATGAGCAAAGAAGCTGCGACAGCACCGGATGCGGCGCCTGTCACGCTGCAGCAAACACAAGGAGAGGCGTCAGGCGCAGCCCCGCCAACACAACAGGCGACGGGCGAGTTGTCCGCGACTGAAGCGCAACGAATCGAACCACCAGGAAGGGCGGACCTCAGCTTCTTGGAGCAGCATCTGTCCCCACAATTCCATCCCAACCCACCCAGGAAAATCCTACATCAACCGTTAAGCGCGGAAATTATGGCGGAGCACCTAAGCGGAATGCCACCCACCCTCCCAACTTACAATGGGACGACTGATCCAGAGGATCACGTCAGCACCTTCTGGCTGCGGATGCAACTCCAGACTAACTCTAACGCGGCGCTATGCAGAACCTTCCCATCAACATTCTCCGGAATATGCCTCGATTGGTACAACCGCCTCCCAAATGGAATCATTCGTTCGTTCGAGGAGTTCATACTCTTGTTCACAACAAAGCTCGCGTCCCAAAAAAGAAGGCCTCTTCACCTCAAGGCGCTGATAGATATCAGGCAAAAGGACGGAGAAAGCATGCGAGCATTCTACGCTAGGTGGTCCAGGGTGGCGATGGCCGTGAGAGACCTCACCCCAGAAACTGCCGCCCATCACCTCATGGACGCCACCAACAACATGGAGGTCAAGCGAGCGCTAGCAAAAAGACCTGTCACGCTGTCAATAGAGTTGGAGGTCAAGATCGAGAAAGCCATCACACTAGAAGAGACACTCGGCGCGGGCTCTGTCAGGCGCTTTGAACCCGCAAAGGCGCCCAAAGAAGAACAAGCGTGGAAACAACTACCAGTGCCGCGGGACCAGTTGATGCAATTGCACAGCGAGCCCAGACGCCCAACCCCCCTCGCCAGAGCAAGTTCAGCGAGGGCGATCACCGGATAGGCGCACATCAAACAACTACACACCCCTCAATGACTCCGTGAAGAACGTGTTACACGTTCTGCGTGAGAAGGGTTACAGAATCAACTGTCCCGCACATTTCAGGTCCTTACCACATATGCGCAATCCGAAGAAGCGCTGCAAATTCCACAGAGAAACGGGCCACTAGACAGAAGATTGTAGAGAGTTGCGCTACGAGATCGAGGGCCTCATACGAAGGGGGCTATTAACCGAGTTCATCCGCGAAGCGGAAGAACAAACAGAATAGCCGATACAACCCCCACCACCCCCACAAGCGGACTATAACGACGCTACAGGCTCGTATGTGGTGCGAAAAGAAATCGGGTTAGTAACAGTAGAAGGAGACCGCCCGAAGAAGAAAACCAAACGCGAGCCCGCTATAGAGTGCGCGGCGGTTGAGGTACCGACGAAGTGCAACCTGAGCTTCGATGACGCTGAGTTCCCCCAGGGGGTCCCATCAGAATACCCTCTTACCATCACCGCGCTTGTCGCCGCCTGCAAAATCCACCTCCTACTGATAGACGGAGGCAGCGCGGCGGACATCCTTTTCAAGAGCACTGTTGATCAAATGGACATCGATCCGCGACTAATAAAGCGCGCTCAGGGGAACTTGGTCGGCTTCTCCAGAACGAGAGTTCCAGTCATTGGCGTAGTCACCCTCCCGGTTGTCCTTGGAGACCAAGAGCCGCTCGTCTCGAAACAAGTCGAATTCACAATAGTCGACTGCAACTCGCCCCATAATGGCATTTTTGGCTGGCCCTTCCTAGCCAAATTCATGGCTCTCCCGTCGACGTGCCACCAGAAACTTAAATTCCACACCAAGGCAGGGGCCGCCGAAGCACGCAGGACGCCATGGGAGGCCCCAAAACTTGGAGAGTCCCGCCAAACCAACATCATTGACACAAGGGCAGAGGAGCCCCGTCCGGAGTCGATGGACTCCGATTTTGAAGTCGCGCTCGATCCAGCCGAGCCGATGCGAAAGATACGCATTTCGACTCACGTCCGCGGTGACGCGATTCAGCCGTTGATAGCTGCTGAAGGAGTACAAGGAACTATTCGCCTGGTGGACAGAAGACATGCCGGGAGTCCCGAGGGAAGTCGCCCAGCATTGCCTCGCGGTTCCAGTCAACGCGGAACCAAGGCAACAAGCGCGACGAAGCTTCACAGGCGACAAACTGAAGGCCATTGAAGAAGAGGTTGCGCGGCGGGACTGATTCGTCCGGTAAAATACCCGAAGTGGTTGGCAAACGTGGTGTTGGTCAAAAAATCTTCAGGGGCCTGGCGGATGTGCGTCGACTATACAACGATCAACAAGGTGTGCCCGGGAGTCCCTTACCCACTCCCGCGCATAGACCAGCTGATCGACGCCACCGTCGACCATGAGACGCTGTCTTTCCTGGACATGTTCTTAGGATACCACCAGATCCCGATGTCTCGCGAAGATGAAAAAAATAGCCTTCATGACACCATTCGGAAACTTTTGTTTCGTTGGGATGCCATTCGGGTTGAAGAATGCTGGCGCGACATACCAGAGAATGATCGATGCGGTGTTTTCACAACATATAGGGCGGAACATCGAGGCATACGTGGATGACCTCATCGTCAAGACTAAGGCGGGCAAATCACACTTGGAAGACTTGCGCGAGACATTTGAGGCACTCCGCAAACACAGTCTCCGCCTCAACCCACTGAAATGCGTGTTTGGAGCAGAAGCCGGAAAATTCTTGGGATTCATGATCACTAAGCGCGGCATCGAGGTTGACCCAAAGCAAATCACTGCAGTCCAGCAGTTGCGCGCGCCGAGGAACACATTGGAGATTCAGTCCCTGAATGGCAAGATAGCGGCACTATGAAGGTTCATACCAAGATCAGCTGACAAGTGCGCCCCGTTCTTCAAGACGCTCAAAAACGGCGCGCGATTCACATGGACCAAGGAATGTGAAGCGGCGTTCCAGGAGCTCAAGGCTTATCTTGTCTCCCCCCTGTATTGACCGCCCCAAAACTTAATGAAAAGCTTTTTCTGTATCTTGCCGTGTCGACGAGAGCTGTGAGCGTAGTACTAATATCCAAAAGGGATGGCCAAAACGAGCGCCCAGTATACTACACATCGCGGACCCTGGTTAGCGCGGAAACAAGATACTCCCCAATAGAAAAAGCCGCTTTGGCGCTAGTGAGCGCGGCACAGAAGTTACGCCCATACTTCCAAGCTCACCAAATCACCGTCCTGACCAACCTCCCCCTAAAAAAGATCCTAATTTCAATGGAAGTATCTGGGCGGATGGTCAAATGGGCGGTCGAGCTGTCAGAGTACGACATCCGGTACGCTCCAAGACCGGCGATAAAGGCGCAAATCCTGGCAGATTTTATCGCAGAGGGGGTGACCCTCGAAACAACACCAGAAGGAGTGTGGGAAGTTTACGTGGATGGCGCGGCGAGCAAACATGGCGCCGGCGCAGGAGTCGTTGTACGCACCCCTTCGGGCGTTGTGCACAAAATAACAATCCGATTCAGAACTCTGAAGACGAATAACGCAACCGAGTACGAAGCCATCCTAGCAGGAATGACGGCCGCCAACGACTTGGGCGCTAGAACAATCAGGGTGCTCTCCGATTCATCACTAGCAGTGAACCAACTGAATTGAGCCTTCGACGCCAAAGAAGACGCGCTCGTGCATTACATGGAGCGTGTCAAACAACGGGCAAATACCTTCGAGGCGGTGACATACGTGCAAATAACCAGAGAAGAAATATGCACACCGATGCGCTATCAAAGTTAGCCACGGCCACCGACTTCGAGTCAACGCGCCTGGTGTCGGTGCAGAAAGAGGAAAAAGACGCCTGCCAATAAGCCGTGGTCAACACCACTCAGACAACACAAAAGGAAGACTGGAGAACACCAATCATAAGGTACTTGCAAAACGGCGCGGTGCCAGAAGATGCCAAGGAGGCATGGACCTTAAGATAAAAGGCGGCCCGATGCACACTAATTGGAGCGGAGTTGTACCGACGGTCATACTCCGGAGTATACCTAAAATGCATTGGGGAAGAAGAGGCGCGCACCATGGTTCATGACCTGCATGAAGGACTATGCGCGGTGCGCAGTATGGAACACACGATACTACTGCACGGATATTATTGGCCGCGAGTGAAAAAAGACACAAAGAAGTATGTTGACCAATGTCACAAATGTCAACTACACGCGCGCCAACATCACCTCCCGTCCACGGAGTTCCAAGGCAATTTAAGCGCATGGCCCTTCGCGCAATGGGGAGTGGATCTCCTGGGCCCCTTCCCAACGGCCAAGGGAAAACGCAAGTACATAATTGTAGCGGTAGATTACTTCACCAAGTGGATCGAGGCAGAAGCATTGGCCTCGATAACGGCGCATCAGGTAACATGCTTCTTAAGAAGCAACATCCTGGCCCGCTTTGGAGTCCCAAACGCATTCATCTTCGATCACGGGAAACAATTCGACTGCGCGGAAGTGATAAACTTTTGCGACCAGGTGGGGGCCATCGCGAGATTCGCATTGGTAGCCTACCCCCAAACCAATGGCCAAGCGGAGGCGGCCAACAAAGAAATCGTGCACGACCTCCACACGAGACTAGACGAAGCCAAAGGCAATTGGGCAGACGAGCACAACACGGTGTTATGGGCGCACCGCACCACTTTCAAAGTGGCAACGGGAGAAACCCCGTTCGCGCTCACCTATGGCACTGATGCAGTGATACCCATTGAGATAACATCCCCAACCTATCGGGTCACGGCATATGATGAGGCGGATAACGATGAAGCACGCCTGCTAGACCTGGAGCTAGCACAAGAACGGCGAGAATTGGCGGCCATCAAGCTAGCCGCGACGAAAGAGCAAGTAGCCAAGTACTACAACGCGAAGCTAGTCCCGCACAAACTGATACTCGGAGATCAAGTGCTGCGCAGGAACCAGGGCCGTCCCATGATATTTGGAGGCCCTGTTCGAAAATTTAAAATGTGGCCCTAATTTTTTTTCCCCATAAATTTATCAAAATTAAAAATTAGTAAATAATTGTAAAAAAATACTTATGTTCAGAAAAAGATTACATCAGGAATAAACGATCTCGTTTCCAGTTTGACCAAGAAACCAAGACCGAATTCCCAGCCCTAGTAGGGAGGAAAGTAAATCTGTAATGAAGAGAAAATGGATATAGCACAAAAATTTGAATGGAGAAATGAAAATAGTCTAAATTGATCGAGAGGTGGGTGCAGGGTTGTCTACTAGATCGTGGAGGCCCTATTTCAAAATCTAGACGTGGTCCAAATCGACCTTTAACTATAATAAAACTTAAATGTAATATCTTTATATATTGTTTAAAAATAAATTATCATGTTAATTGCTTGGTTGGTCACTGAGATTACAAAAAACTTTCAAGTTTGGTCACTCAAAATATTTAAATCCATTGGTGGTACTTCAGTTTACCGAAACCGTTCACGTTTGGTCACTCTCCGTCTAACTCCGTTAACTTTTGCTGATGTGGCAGTCAACTCTCAATGTTGACCGTTAACTTAGTGACGTGGCAACTAAAAATTATTAAAAATAAACTTTTATATTTTCCACCTCATTATTACATTCATTAAAAAATAAAAAACAATTAATTTTTTTTTTCTACAAACCCCATACCCTACCCACGTTGAACGGACTCCCACCTCTCGCCGGACTCCTCATCGCGAAGCTCCCGACCACCGGCGTCCACTGGAGCAGGCTTCGGTGGTGGCAAATCAACCTCTTCTCTACGCAAAGACACATCATCAACGCTCGATTGTCGATTTCTCCCGCGTATGGTTGTTGGTGAATTGAGTCCAGCAACCTCTTCTCCTTTGTTAGTACCTCCGCCGGATTCTGCCCAGTAAGAGCTGTAACCGTATGTCGAACAGTACTGGCCAATGTAGCTGCTATAATCGGAGACAAAACAGAGTATAAGAAGATAGAAAAAATAAGTTGCAAAATGAGGGGGAAAGGAAGAAAGAGAGCAAAAGTTACTACTAACTACTTTAAGAGATATGTCAAGAAATAATAGCAAGGGAAAAAAACACCGTACTGCTGCGAAGGAAAGTAGAGCATTTCAGGTTGGAAAATGAAGACAATTTGATCCGACAATGATTAGAAAAGTTTGTTAAATCTGAAGCCGGGCTCTAGTAGCCCGACCCAATCTAAGCAGGCAACATGATGGATGATGCAGAGGTAAAATGAAGAAAGTAACATCAACATAGTTGCACTCTATACATATATAAGCGATAAGGAAACTACTCAATAATCCCAATTTGAAACCTGAGAAAACAGATTCAATTGAACATAATATAAAGTGGAATAGGCAAGCATCTAAGTGAATCGAAATTCCCACTTCCTCCCTTCCTTCCACGCCGGCGGAGGTCAGTGGCGGCCGTGGCGTTGCGGCAGAGGAGCAAATTCGGGTTCGGGTGCGGGATGTTCCATAAGGATTTTGGAGGGGAGGTGTCGCTGGCGTGGACACCGGTGGTCGGGAGCTTCGCGATGAGGAGTCCGGCAAGAGGCGAGAGTCCGTTCAACGTGGGTAGGGTATGGGTTTGTAGAATTTTTTTTTTTATTTTTTAGATTTTTTTATTTTTTAATGAATGTAATAATGAGGTGGAAAATATAAAAGTTTATATTTTATTTTTAATAATTTTTTAGTTGCCACGTCACTAAATTAGCAGTCAAACTTTAAGAGTTGACTGCCACATCAGCCAAAGTTAACGGAGTTGGACGGAGAGTGACCAAACTTGAACGGTTTCGATAAACTGAAGTACCACCAATGGATTTAAATATTTCGAGTGACCAAATTTGAACGTTTTTGTAATCTCAGTGACCAACCATGCAATTAACCCTAAAATTATCTATTATTTTTCAGATTTTCGTATTCTCCATGAGATCCTTTTCAATTGTTATTATAGCTAAAATTATCTATTAAATACATCATCATACTCATAATCAATCAATCATACACTAAAAATACAGCCTACAATATACGATCGGTAACTAACGAATCTAAGTACAGGCCCCAAATATTCTGAGGCCCTGTGCCGGAGGGCGGGCCAGCACACCCTCTTGGACGGCCCTGGCAGGAACTTCCGCCCCGACCCCAAACATGGCAAGCTCGCTTCAACATGGGAAGGCCCGTACCTAATCCGAGAGGTTGTCGGCGCCAACACCTTCAAGCTTAGCGAATTGGGATGCGCCAAAATTCCACGGACATGGAATGCGCAGAATCTCAGGAAATATTACTGCTCAAATTGATGTATTATTTGCGCATGGGCGCAAGAAAGTAGCAATAATAATGACTTATTCGAGCCAAGACAGTTCGAAAGAACAAAAAATAGCAATAATCGTGAATTATTTGCGCCTTCAAAGTTCGAAAGAACAGAAAATAGCAATAACCAAGAGTTATTCGCGCCAACACAGTTCGAAAGAACAAAAAATAGCAATAATCATGAATTATTTGCGCCTCCAAAGTTTGAAATAACAGAAAATAGCAATAACCAAGTGTTATTCGCGCCAACACAGTTCGACAGAACAAAAAAAAAGCAATAACCAAGAGTTATTCGCGCCAACACAGTTCGAAAGAACAAAAAATAGCAATAATCATGAATTATTTGCGCCTCCAAAGTTTGAAAGAACAGAAAATAGCGATAACCAAGAGTTATTCGCGCCAACACAATTCGAAAGAACAAAAATAGCAATAACCAAGAGTTATTCGCGCCAACACAGTTCGAAAGAATAGGAAAGAGCAATAGGCATAAATTATTCACGCTTACTACGAAGAGTGAAGATATGCTCGGACGAATAAAAGATCTGATGGATCGAAATGATTTGGATTGCATCAGCGGGAGAAAAACTTAGCAAATACATAATAGAAAGGAAGGGAAGAACTACACTTGCAAAAAAAAAAAAGAAAGGGAAAGAAAGGGAAAATGTCAAAACAGCGCGACTACACTTGTTGATTGGTCGAAGCATCCCCAGCGTTAGTCTGCGCCGCGTCGGCCTGGTCATCCTTTACTTCATCCTCTCCTTGATCCTCATCCTCCCCCGAGTCCGAGCGCGCCTCCTCTTCCTCGTCCTCTGGCTCCGAGTCAGACTCGAGGGACCTCTTCTCGCCCAGCCACATCTGGACGTGGCGCACCATTGCGCGAGTGTTCCAGCGGACTCCTGGATTCTCTGGCCTCACCTTCTTGCGCACCGCGATCACCGTCTTGGTCATCGCGTCCGCCAAATTCTTCCCAAAAGAGGAAGACGATTTATACTGGCGGACAGCAGCAAACTCGGCTGCGCGCACATCCTCTGCCTTCGCAACCGTGTGAAGGCGAACCAGGTCCTACTTCTCCTTCTGAAACTCTTCGCAGGCTTGCTTAAGCTTCTCAGCATAATCCGCCTCCAACTCCGCTTGGATCAGGCCGCGGTCCTCAGCTCGGACGCGCTCTTTCACCGCCTCCACATCCGACGCCAGCTTGCTCTGTAGAACGCCGAGCTCCTCCATGGCCTCGTTGGCCTTGGTTGTTGCCACCTCGGAGCGATTCTGAGCACCCGTGAGCTTGCCCTCCAGCTGGACAATCCTCGACTCCTCCGCCTGCAGCTTCGCGTGGTGCGAAACCCGTTCCTTTTGGGCCCGGAAGGTCGCCAGCAAACCCTACATCCACAGCGCCACGAGACTTAGCAAAAATTTCACTTGATGAATAAGAGACAGACGTACCGCGTGAACAATCCAGAATAACCTTACCGCAAAGTGAATCTGAGCCAGGTCTTGCAGCGGGTCAGATTTCTCCAGCCGCGTAGGGACACTCTGATGAGGTCCCAACGCGCGGAGCGCGGTATTAGCTGCCACGCTGTTGCACGCCGCGCCGGTGTGGATCCGCACGTCGCGAAAATAATTGATGGCAAAAGCCATCTCAGGCAACTTCTGCTGAAGCGTCGCACCAGATGAGCTTCTGGCTGTTGATTTCTCAGGACGCGGAGGCGCATCCACTTGCGCATCGGACGCGTCTGCCTCCACAATTACGAGCGGCAACTGTTGTGCCGCCTGCTCAGCCACCTGCTCAGGTTGAGCGTCAGCCCGAGCTACCTTGCGGGGCTTCTCCGCCACCGATGGCTGCTCAACCTCCTTCCTCTTCAGGCGCTTAGATGGCGCGGTCTCCTTCTTCTTCTTCTTTTAGCCACGGGGAGCCTGCGGAGCTTTCACAACCACGTCGTCAACCGACATCATGCTGACCAGACTGTATAAGTCAACACCTGCGCCAATAAATCGTAAGAGGGCGATTAATATGACAGAATGCATAAAGAAAGGAACACAACTAACCATCCGCAAAAAGCTCCGCCAAACAAGCCTCGCGGACCCCGCCCACATAAATATTAAACTTCTGCAGCATGCACGCCTCGTATTCATCGTCGAGCCTGTCGTATTTGCTCAGGTCCGACTCGTAGCCATGCGTGCTGCCCTTCTTCCAAACTGTGGGCTCCTCCACATGCTCACTCGCCCACTACCCCGTAGTCGGCTTAACGTAGAAGAAGCGCTCGAACCAAGTTTTCTTTAACTTGGGCAACCCATACACGAAGCCGTCGGGCATTTTGTCGCGCCGCCTGATTGAGAGACAGTCACTCTTCTTCGTGGGCTCCTTAATCTTATACATCTTACGGAATAGCCCGTAAGACGGCGGAATGTTGAGCCTCTTACACGCAAGGCGGAGGCAGCTCGCGTGCATGATGATTGATGGAGACAGGCGCCCAACCGAGCAGTTGAGCCGCCTGTATAGCTCGCATAGCAGCGGTTCAATGGGGAACTTAAACCCCATTACCCAGTACTCGGTATACACCCCGATCCATCCTTGGGGGAAATTACCAACAATACTCGGCGTGGAAGGAATCGCGTACTCCCAACTGGGGGGGGCAAACCCAACCCGCGCACAATCTCTGTCACTTCCTTCCGCCCGTAGATTGACGCGTGATCGGGCCCCCGCAGAAGACTGTATCGCGGCGCTGGCTCATCGCCCCACATTTCCGCCCAATCAATGATCTTGTAGGCCGCTCCCACACCGCGGAACCCTAGGCGGCTTATTGCCTCGGATACGCGCGCGATGCAGTGCGGCTCTGACTGCGTTTCAGACCCCTCTCGCGCCTCACGATTCGCGCCCCCAGACCCACCAGCACGGTCGCGGCGGATTATTAGCACACCACGAGCACTGGTGCCGGCCTGCCCACTCCCATACACCGTCACATCCACATCGGACGAGCCGCGGCAATCCCGTTCCGAATCGACGTCGTACGACGGCGTCACCGGAACCCCATCGCCGCCAGCACCGCCGTCGCCCCCGTTGCCGGAATCATCCAGATCCAACGAAGGATCAGTAGAAACACGCGAAGGAGAGGAGAGATTACCTTCTTCACCTTGCACGACCTCGATCTCGTCGATGTTGATGCTAGCCATGGCAGATTCTTGAGTTTTGGCAACAACAAGTAGAGAAAGGAGGTTGTAGAAGAAGGAGAAGAATCTCGAAGAAAAACCCAACGTAGAGAAAACAAGAAGCAGATCTCGAAGAGGCAGAATGGGTTTCAACCCCCCGATGGCTAACTATTTATTCCTGAGAAAGGAAAGCCGAACAGTTAAAGTTGCTTCGAAAAACGCAACCGTCAGAGCCTTTTTGAATTTCAAAACGACCGCCAAGACGGACCACCCATACAAGGACACGTGGACACCTAACATAGGCATAGGCACTAGCCGATAACGTCACAAGCTCCGCGCATCGCCTGGGGGTACGACACACCCACGGAGAGAAAAAACACCCTCAAAAGTCCAAGCTTACTAGAAAGCGTCACGCGCAGTCAAGCCAATCGCGCGCAACAATAAAAAAACCACCAGCCCAAAAAATCTCCTGAGAATCAAGCAGGCCGAGTCAATCGAGCGGAAACAGAATGGCGTCAGCCCTAAAAAAAATCACGAAGATCGCGCGGAAATCAAAAGACGCCAATCCTAAAACGCTCACGAAGATCACGTGGACCCGAGTCAATCGCGTGGAAGTCAAACAGGCGGTATTCGCGGAACACCCCTGATGGGGGGCAATTGTTGGGCAGATGACTCGGATCCCGCCGGGCCAAAGAAACACCGACATCAGAGGAGTTGGGCGCGTTAGTGCCGACGCGACCAGAAAAGCACACCGGCGAGCGCCACCACCAAGAGCGTCGGGCGCATCAGCACCGACGCGAGTGAGCACACCGGCGAGCGCCAATACCAAGAGAGTCGGACGCATCAGCACCGACGCGACTGAGGACAGCCCGAACACCAAACGACGACGTTCGAGTCCAGCGTTGACCAAATTAGCGAGTGTGGGAAAACGACGCCGCGTTCCACCCGCCGAGTGGTCACATCATAGTCCTAGGTATAATAAAAGGCTAAATGTACTTATCCTAGGTAGAGGTATGGTCTAGTCCTCTGACATGTCAGTAGTCATGTCACCATGTAACTCACCCACCACCATGTAGCCTATAAATAGGGCATTTACTCCTGTTGGTGAGGGAGATCGGATTTTGGAAACTCTATCTCTAAGAAAAAGAACACACTTCTCTCTCTAAAAGTCACTCTCTCAACTCCTTCCTTCCTTTCCTTCCTTCCTAAGCTCCAGGCTGATTCCTGTTGCTCATTCTCCCCGACCCATTTCACGTGAATCTCACTCATACACTCAGTTAAGTTCAAACAATTGGCGCCCACCGTGGGCTGAGTAGAAAAAGCAGCAAAAATCCAACCAATGGCAGAGCCCAATAAACAATAAACAATTCCAATAAACAATTTCTTTCTTTGAGAAATAACGAGGAAAAATGTTAGAGTGTTAATATGGTATTAATATTAGTTCCAATTAAGGGTGCGCATGTGCCACTAGAACTCGAATCCGCGGTACACTGCCCAGCAGTGGAACAAGAAATTTTATATAGGGTGTTCTCTTATAAAAAAAATAAATTAAATAATTCTTAATTAACAAAGTACCTTACTTGTACAAGTTAAAAAAAGTTAACGATGTGTTTTATATTCGGAAATAATTGTAAAATATACTTGGTGTCTACACTGCTAAAAAAATTGTATTTGTATATCCTACTATATAATCATTCACGAACTAGTAGCATATTCGATTTCTAAACTTGTTATTGACGCAACCCAAAACTGAAAAAACTCTTTCATCACTTGTGTAACCATAAAATCAATACAAATTAAGGGTAGCTTGAAATTAGTTTAATTGTTAATTTTTGAAAATAGTTAGAGATAGAGAATGGTATTTTACTATTACATGGTGTTCGGGAGCGAGTCAGAAAATCGAATACTTCCACTTTCTTTCTTGTTCATCAATCGGGAATCAAGATAAACTGGGTGTTTAAAATCAAACAACAAATGAGTTGTAGCCTAATGGAAATTATGTTTATTAATAATTTTAGTGTCTTAGATTTGAATTATCCAAACTACCACGTATATTCCCATGCGCAAACTAAAAAAATGAGAGTAGGATAATCATTTTTTCAAATTTCAGGGGTCTCTCCAACTATCAATTATAATTTTTTTGTCGATAAGTTAATTACTACAGGGGATTGGATAATCGTTTTCTCGGTCCGCCCCTGAACCTACCCGATCCAACCCGGTCAAAGCGGGTAAAACCCATTTTGACGGATTGTGGGTCGGGTTAGAGTTTAAACCCATGTACTTTTGTGGGTTGGATTTGGGTTTAGCCATATCCAACCCTTGGATACCCGCACCCAAGTCCACACCGCCCACGACCCACGAAACCCTTAACTAATTAACTATAATCACTAAATTAATTCCTCACACGTTCAATTAATCATATTGTTTGTGAATTTTTATCTTTAATATTGAATAACTACTATGAATGATATATGAGTTAGTGGGTATGTAGTAGACAATAGTAGTGGAAAAAACTATTGTAATTGCATCTTTGTACATGAACCCATGGGTACACATGAACCCGCGGTGATAGAAACCTAATTTCCGGGTTTATTCATAATTATTATAATTAGTATAATTAGGATATTATTATATATGGTTAGTAGTATTTGAGTCATAATAGGCTAGACTATTAGGTTTTTCCAGTCTTTCGTTATAAATATGTACTCTGCTTTTTATTCAGAATCAATCAAGAAAGAATTATCAAAGTATCACTCTCAACCCTAATCTCTCCTAATCCTCACAAACTCTCTTCTCATCCTATTCTGGCCGCCGGCTATTCTGTTCTTGTTCCTCCCCAATTCTACTCTTCTTCCCCAATTCCTCAATCCCTAATTCTATTCCCAAATCTCTAAATTCCCAATGAACCAACACTGTCGATAGAACCCTAGAAATAGGTTTCTATCATCTGGTATCAGAGTCTGGTTCTGAGATTGAGTTCGTCACAGCTCTGAACTAGGGACGATTGCACCATAATGAGCTTGTTACAGCTCTTCGATGCAGAGTGGTACAGGCTACAAGCGTTGCTGGAGCATACCTTGGAACGCCGTAATCAAGAGGCACGGATGAGGGCGGCGAAGAGAGAGATGGTCACAAGGCAAGTCGCGACGGTCGCTGAGAACGGTGGAGATCGCGCAACAATACCGCCGCAGTCGCGAGGCTCCTCGGTCACAAGACTGACCGAGGAGACCGCGGATGACATCACAGCGTCGGCGGAGAGTGCTGAGGTCGATGGCGCAGCAAAGGCGCAGCCACCGACAGCAGGCGAGGATGTGGCAGACAAGGCAGCTGCGAGGCTGAGTTGACATATGGCGGTGAGGTCGAAAAAGGAGGAGGAGAGCTCATGAGTCCTGCCGCTGCTACCCCAAGCATCATCACCATTGTCGAGCAGCAGGAGCAGGATCGACAGCTGGTTGGGATCGACGCGGAAGAAGGGATGGTGGCAGCAACAACGGAGCCCAAACCGGTAGCCCCTGGCCCTGCAATCACCGCCAAGAACTTTGGCGATCAGTAGTAGCTTTCGGCGACCCCCGCAGTGCTGCCTGACTCGTTGGCTTCGGTCTCCACCACCAAGAAGCCGAGACGGAACCTCCAATCACCGTTGCGCCAGCCACCATACCACCGCCATACAAAACCTAAGAATAAAAAGGAGACTGTATCGCCCATGTCTGATGAGGACATCAACACCAAGGCGATCACAAGTCCAACTTTGGTGCAAGAGGAACGTGGTCCAATCACTAGAAGTCAAGCCAAGGCATTCAAAGGTCGACTTCAAGCTTATTTGGCAGAGCATTTTCCATCTTTGGAGTCGAATTCGTTCATAGGCCAGGAGGTCAATGTTATCCACGTCCAAGATGAGAAAGAAGGAAATTCTTGATGCCCAAGTTGGCCACACATGGAAAGGCAAAGGAAAGGGGGAGAAAGAAGGACATTCTTGATGCCCAAGTTAGCCAAACATGGAAAGGGAATAATTAGTGGTTAAGAATCTTCCATTAGCATTAAAAACAATATGTTAGAATCTTTTGGATATTTGTTTCCTTCTTTAACTCCTATTAGTTTCCTTCTTAATTTTGTAACCTCTATAAATAGAGGGCGTTATGCCTACGGGCAAAACAACCTTTGATCAATGAAAAACCCGTATTTGAGTGTTCAATCTTGAAACTCTTTCATCCTTCTTAGTCTGTTCGTGGAATCGAGCCGTCTAGAAGAAACCGACGTTATCAACTAGCTCATCACCCTAGTTGTGGAGTCACTTCGTATACTTGGCCATATGCCCAATTGTGGCTTTGGTTTGAGTTATTTTCCGCCCCTTTTGCTCTTTGTTTTGCTAATCGATCTTTGCTGCGTATTCTGATTGTTTAAGTCCAGGAGTTAGAGCCTCGGCTTATATCAATGTCGTTGTCTCTAATAAGGAGAAGGCGGAACCACAACTTCTGTCGAACACTGCTGTTGCAGCTTCAAGGATCGCAATCCCCTCGACTGGGAAGGCCAAATCGTGCGCTGAAGAGACGCCACCGAATCTGAAATTGGGGGAAGAACTGTAGGTAAATTCAAGAACCACCCCAACCCTAATAAAAATCTCAATCGCTTGTTGGAAGTTTAGGAAGAAAGAGAAGTTGACGAAGACAGATGACGACGACTGCTCTTCCTTCCTCACGTTGGTGGACGAGCTGGTGCGACAGGCGAAGAGAGTCGGGGTCTCAAACTCGCCGCCTCCTTGTCAGGCGGATGGTGCGCTGCCGGAAGAGGAGTTGGAGGAGAGGCCGCATGAGTTGGAGTCGTTCGCGGCGCTGGCCAATAGGGTAGAAAATTCGAAAGCGGGTTGGAGTTTTCTCCGGTGAATCCCTTCGTCGCTGAGCAAGGGTGAGTCGTCGAAGAAGCCGACGAAGAAGGACGACGGCGGTACTCTCCTGCTCTCGTACAAGCTGTGGCGCCTTCTTCCTTCCCACGAAGGCCAGTGCCAGCTAAGGGCAGTGGGCCAAGGGGTGGTTGCTAACCCTATTGGGACGAATTTGACAATGGCCCAGCTCTGTTTGGTTCGAGAAGACCAGCGGGATAGGCTGAGGGATGAGCCGATTGGGTTGACAGAGAGGGACAAGCCCAATTCGTCTCCTGTCTCTTAAGTAAAGGTGGGCCGAGTTTGCAAGAGAGACTTGATCCTCCAAGGTACTATCTTGCTGGGCTTGTTTTGCAGGAACAGAAATTGAAGGAAGAGAATAGTGGGCTCATTGGGTTAGGTGGGTTTTCAAGTAAGCTCATTCCAAACCAACTTGGAGGAGAATGGATCCTAAAAGAGCTTGTCTTCAACTCCATCGAATCTGCCATGTGCATGGTGGTGGATGAGCATAATGACGAACAATTCTCCAATTCATATTTTGTGAAATTCGAGGAGGGCAAATTGTTCGGCTACGAAGAACATGACATATGTCATGTGGGTGTTGGAGATTCGAGGACAGTTGGAGTTGCGCGAAGAGAGTTCATTCATGGCATTGAGCGCAACTGGAAACGAAGAAAGCGGAAGGTCACAGAGAAGTGGGTTGAGTCGGTCAACTTTGAGGGCAAGGTTGGTCTCAAGGTTGAGTCGTTATAAATATGTACTCTGCGTTTTATTCAGAATCAATAAAGAAAGAATTATCAAAGTATCACTCTCAATCCTAATCTCTCCTAATCCTCTCAAACTCTCTTCTCATCCTATTTTGGTCATCGATCATTCTGTTCTTGTTCCTCCCCAATTCTACCCTTCTTCCCCAATTCCTCAATCTCAATCACTAATTCTATTCTCAAATCCCTAAATTCCCAATCAACTAACACTATCGATAGAACCCTAGAAATAGGTTCTATCACCCGGATACCCAACGGGTTGGGTTGGGTTTGAGTTTTCCAAATCTAGTGAGTTTTACCTTGTTTTTTTTATATAAACCAATGGGTTTGGCATAACCCGCCCCAAACCGACACATTGCCATCCCTAGCACACAGGGTGTTATGCTAACATTATTTACAAGGTAGTAAAGTAAAATTACTGCTCCTCCGTCTCATCTCCCTATCCACCGACATCCATGGAATCAAGATTCCAAACCCAACCTTTGCGCTTCTTCTCCATAACGACAAAACCCACGAATCTCCAATTCGAGCAGAACTTAGGTAGCATGGGAGCCAGATTGGCTGCGGAATCCCCCATCATCTCTGACTTTGTCGACCTCCATTCCAACGAATCTTTCTCAATCGAGGTCGAAACCAAGAAAAAGCCGCTTCCTAAACTGAAGTGGATGAAAGAAGCAATTCAAGGCGGGGAGAAGTATGTTTAGATCAAGAAGAAGTTGAGGGAATCAAAGCTCCGCATTGTCCGCGAGGAGGTGAAATGCCCTAATTTGGGGCAAGTGTTGATGAACTTGTGGTGTTGTTTGGCCTATGTTTTAAGAAATTAAATTGGTGGTATACTTTAAAAAACTTGTAGTGTATTTTAGGTGTGTTTTAGTGAACTCGTGGCCTCGTTTAGTGAATTTGTGGTTTGGCCTTTGAAGTAATTGAACATGTCGAGCACACTTCATATGCTCTACATTTGGCATGCCATCATGGAGCGCGTCCACTAGCCCCACAAATTTCAGATAAAATAAGACAAGTCAGATTATTTAAGATAAACACTCCCAAAAGCAACTATAATTTTAACATATCTTTTGTTGGTCTAACACGATAGTCCACCCATTACCATCATCCGACTCAACTTGCTCTTACAATGCCTTAATGAACCAATTCCATGAGCTTTTGTTCTCCGACTCTACTATTGCCTACGCAATTAGGGCTGGGCAATGGGAAATTAGTATTTGGGTATACACATACTCGTCCCGTTTTTTGAGGATTACGGGTACCCAATTATTCGTAAATTTTTTACGGGTTGGGATATGGGATGATGAAGTTCTATAATGGGTACCCACGGGTAACCCGTTAATACCCGTGTGGGTACTACGGGTAACCGTAATGCTCGCCCACCGAAATTATATAAAATAAATGGCATTTTATTTTGCAGCAGCCCCTACGGTATACAACTCAATATACTTGTCTTTGGCTGGCCAAGTAATGAAGGTCTAAGTTTTATATTGTGTGGTCCAATTAAGCCAATAACCCTCCAATTGCTATTATAAAGTGATGGTTAATTTTACCATGTTTGATCATAAGTTCACTTCTCACCCGTTAATGTTTTTTTCATTTTTGTTAATCTTGATCTTAAGAGTTCAAATGATATAGTGAGATACTTGCTTGTGATAAATAGGCATGCTTCTTGTTCCAATAGCTTATATCAGGAGTCAGCTACTATCATGCAATGGTGAGTGAAATAAACTATTTTATCTTGATTGGGATTCTTGGTACGAAGAAGAATGTGCTGACTAGTAATTCTTAAAGCCGGAATAAAACTTATAGCCACTACTAGTCTTTTTTCTGATGTTGTGATCTCACAAAATTAGACGGCGAATACCCGCGGGTACTTGTTATCCGTCACGTATGGGTAATGGGTACCCGTTAATCCATATGGGTTTGGGATATGAGATGGAGTTTCCTCTCCAAATGGGAATGGGTACCCATTTCAAACGGGTCGGGTACCCAATCCCGTCCCATTTCCCACCCCTACAAGCAATTGGCAACATATGATTGTTATTGAATTGAGCGAGGGAAACTAAGGTCAGACCTAATGGCTTTAACCATAAATGCCTCAAGTCCGTGAAACCAACTACCATAGATTCTCTACATGCACTGATACGCTCCCCTTTGGATACACATTGCTTCCTTCCTCCTATCATTGCTCCTCATCCATATGATGAGCACCTATCTCAATTGGATTTTTAATAACAACAGACTTAAAATGATTGGGAAAGGTGAATCGCATGTGTTTAAACTTCAATGTTTTCTGATCACATTTGGGACCATAAAACACGCTCGATCCCCTATACTATGTATCCATTGACCCTTCATCATTCATTTCTTCCTCCACATTCTTACTAGCCTCACCCCTTCTCACACTTGCACACTCTTTACACACATTGAAATGGTGGTTAACATCCCACACAAATAATTGATCCACTTCATCTCCATAACCATCAAACTCTGTTATACGGTCTTGCCTCCTTTGAACATTGGCCCTAATTTCATGAAACTCCTCGTCGGATGTCTAAGCATCTTCAACTTCATCCAAATGAACAAATTCTAGTACAACTGAGTTTTCTCTAGAATCATCCGAGCCTTCATGATCATGCACATAATTGTCTCCCATAAAATCCACCTCTCCAAGATCATTCGATGCCTCATAGTAAACTCTTAACTCTCCTTTGCCAACCTCTAGAAGTAATCTAGTAACATCCTGATGGGCCACAACTCAGTGGGCCTCGCCGTTCCAGCCGAGCCCACTAGCCCAATGTGCACTTGATCCGTAATTAGGGAATTGCAATATATCAGGATTCATATTATGTTTTTTGAGTCAGTTGTGGAGTCTTTGTTATAGTGGCATTCAAGGTTGTTAGGAATTAATCACTTCCACCATAAGTGGAACGTGTAGGTAGGTGTAGCAGTCATAGTGGTTGTTTGGTAGGGAATTAGTTATTTTTTCATTTGTATTTATACCTATGAATGAATGAAAGAAGGCAAGCAATATTTCAGAAATAGAAATCCCGGGCCATTCTCGCCAAGAAAGGAGAAACCTGGTTCAATCCCGCCAAGAAAAGGGATCCATTCACTCATACGATTTCAACACGTATCATTTGGTATCAGAGGCATTGATCCTGTGTTTCGATCATGATGGACTCAGAGAGACAATCAAGGAAAGAACTCATCAATCAGGCACTCACGCAGATAGAATGTGTCATGGCTACCTGTAACATGCTCATTGCGACGTATGACAAACACAGGCCAGCAACAACACCACCGAGGCCGCAAGTCGAGACCCTGGCCGCCATGGGAGAAGCGGAGATCATCCTCCCACCTATAGCCACCGCACCGCCATCGTCGCAAGCTGAAGGTATATTCGAGTCGATAGATGATGAGGAAGAAGATGTTGTCGGCGCAAAGCCTGCACCACCGTTGTTGTTGGCGCCGTTCCCTCTTGATGCGCCGACGAGTGCCTCCGAACCACCGCCGCTGCAAGTCAAAACTGTCGCCGCCGCTGAAGAGAGAGAGAGATTCCCCTCCTACCCGCTTAACCCCAGTTTTTCCTCGCCAGTATCAGGAGCAAACAACCAGTCCTAGCAAAAGAGGCTGAGCCGAACCATCTGGGGATCAAGGCGGCGACCCCACTGGAGCTGTTACTAAACACGGCGCATTCCGATGCCGTTGTTGCTGCAACCATGTTGTCAGGGACAATCCCCCACCCATCGCCACTCACAATCGGTGATAATTCCAAGACTGATGGCTGCAAAGCTAATTTCAATACATGAAAATTTCGGAAAAAGAAAGATGGAGGTCGACGTCAATTAGGTCTGAGTAAGGTAACTCATAATACAGGGACGCAAGTTCTTAATGTGTTTACTTCTTTGGATCAACGCCTTAGTTCAAAAGGAGTGCGAGTTTTATTGGCAGCAGGGGAGTCCTTCCATTCTCAACATATTGGGAAGGATAAATCAAATAGTCGTTCATGTAAGTATCGGCAGAAAATACGGTTGAAGAGGTTACGAGGGAGGTTTCGGACTAAGGGCGGGGCGGTCGTGAAATCGGACATCGTTGAAGGGGAAGCATTCGACCACACCATGACGGGCTACTTCATCACGTTGGTCCAGGATAAGCACGGGAAGTACAAGAGCAAATACAAGAGAGTCGCGAGTAAGCCCGCGATGGAGTGCGAGCATGCCCAATGGGCCCATAGCAGCCCGCACCAGGTCCGAGTCGAGACTGCATTATGGTTTGATGGAATTGGGTTCTCGAAGTGGTTCACCACGCCGCAGTCTAAGGTATTTCTCGTGGGTTCTGCCAAGAAGCCTTTGCGGCCAGTGAAGATAGGGAAGGTCGCGTGGTGGAAGAAATCGGCTATCGAGGAGAGCGTGTCTGGCTGGGAAGCAACAGGCCGATTAGGAGCTAGGGATTGTTTGTACACTGAAACTACTAGTGAATTGATGAGATATGCGAGCTGATGTTGACTTTTGGGAATGATGTTTGGTTTCCATTTATGGTTGACGGGATGGAGGTGGCATTTTTATCATTTGGAGGGATAATAACAAGGAAGGAGATACATCAGATTAGAGAAGTAATGCATGGGATGCATGGAATGATGGATTTGGAAGAGGAATTTCATAGTTTTGAAGCAGCTGATCTTGTTGGAGTAACCCATTCGTTCACCAAAGATATGAAGCCCTTGTACGCAGAAGCTCTCCATGTTGGATTTGTTCGTGGGAACTGGTGTCAGTCTTCAACGATCAATATTTTTAGCTTGGCCTTGAGGACAAGGCCGCTCTTTTAGGAGGTGGTAATGATGGGCCACAACTCAGTGGGCCTCGCCGTTCCAGCCAAGCCCACTAGCCCAATGTGCACTTGATCCGTAATGAGGGAATTGCAATATATCAGGATTCATATTATGTTTGTTGAGTCAGTTGTGGAGTGTTTGTTATAGTGGCATCCAAGGTTGTTAGGAATTAATCACTTCCACCATAAGTGGAACGTGTAGGTAGGTGTAGCAGTAGTAGTGGCTGTTTGTTAGGGAATTAGTTATTGTTCATTTGTATTTATACCTACGAATGAATGAAAGAAGGCACACAATATTTTAGAAATAGAAATCCCTGGCCATTCTCGCCAAGAAAGGAGAAACCTGGTTCAATCCCTCCAAGAAAAGGGATCCATTCACTCATACGATTTCAACACGTATCACATCCTCAACATCCGAGACTATTTCATGCAACCCAGTAGCCATGCTTTTCCCCGGGGTTAACTATCAATCTCTCTTAACCGAAATATACTCCAAATCTTCAATCAAAGTGTTCGTCAACTCGAAATAGGACAACACATCACGATGAATTGTCACAATATCTACAATTTACCCAACATACCGTGGAACATCCCCCGCCATATCTATAGCGCCTCCATGATATAAAATAAGCTCAATCATCTCATCCATGATGCGAAACATGCTCATTGCCTTAATATCAACTTACTAAACCCGACAAATACAACTCAGGAGCATTACTTTAATCTCAATTCAGTAAGTCTAATGAAGAAAAATTGTGTGCATTACTTTAATCTCAATCTCACTAAAACACGAGCATTATATTACTTTAATCTCAATCTCACTGAACCCGACAAAGAGAAACAAAGAGCATTACTTTAATCAAAACCCTAATCTTTGGCTGTGCCTATAAATTAAATCAGAAAATGAAGTGAAAGAAAGAGATTGCTTACTTTGCTGGTGGCAAACAAAATCTTGTTGTTGTGGTCCTTTGCTAATGTGGCCCCATCATCGTCACTATTAAAGAACTTCGTCCAGTCGACAGCGACACCATGAACACTTCAAAGTAGGGAGAACTAGCTTTATATTGCACGAGAGTGAAAGAGGTACTGGATCAAAGTAGGGAGAGGGGACGAGTGCGATGGCGACTGACTCACACTAACCACACGCTCTCATCTGAAGGCCAAGTATAACCAACGACCGAGTGTAGTATAGGGTAAGTAAAGTAATGCAATTATTGAATCCACGGGTCTCTAAATGTACCATTACTTCAACTTCTATTCGTTATCTAGCCAAGCAAGAATAGTGATTATGAAACTAAGCTAACTAAGCTACTCAAACATTAACACTAATTGATTACAAGATATGAGCTCACTTAGTTATGAATCTCCCTAATCCCTTCATTTGTTTGATGTTGAGTACTACTATAGATTGATTGACTCGATACTTCTACTGAGGAGAATTATACACTACAATTGACTCCCTATTCTGAGTTATCCAACCCCGCTCAATTGCTCAACCAGAAAGGCGTATCATACAAGTATACAACTAACATTGGCAATTGAGGTTCACAACCAACTACGATTGGGCAAAACCCAATAAGACAATATGGATCAAATAAGTAAATTTTGATAATAGCATGGACCACGATATTAATTAGTGAAAAAAATGGTTAACAAAAAGTAAATTTGGGCCTGAAAATATTAACCCTAAAAATTATTAAAAATGAATATGTTTTATACTGAACATATATGGGATTTGGACAAAATCTTTGGGTAACTTTTGCCACCCCTTGCCACGTCTAACACTTCAAGCCAATGGGCACTCGCGATCTGCAACTCTTAACGTCAATGGAATGAGAAATGTACCTTTCACCCTAATTCGTGCCCTAGGACTAACATAATAACTATTGGGCTCTGATCTGGACTCACTCGTTCGATCTCTTCGGGAGACAAGAAACCTGTGAGGAGGAGGGGCGGCCCCCGAAATCTACGCTCTACACCCCAAATTAGTACGAAATATGATAATGGTGCATGATATGTGAAATGTAGGGAGATAAAGCTAGAGAGAGAACTCAAGTGATGTAAAATAAGGGGAAGAGAAGGTCCCATTTAGGGATGGCAACAAAACCCGAACCCACGAGTACCCACCCGACCCAACCCGGTCAACGCGGGTAAAACCCATGTTGACGGATTTTGGGCCGGGTTCAGGTTTAAAGGGTCCATGAAACCGTACCGGAGATCGTACCGGAAAAGTCAGCGGTAGGGTATTTTATGACAAAACCGTGGTTTTACCGTAGTTTAACGGTTGGTATCGTTAAATACCGCATACCGGTTTAGCCTCCGATACTGGTATTTTGTGGTTGAACCGCCGGTACGGTACGGTTTCATGGACTATGGTTTAAACCCGCTACACTATTCACCGGGTTGGGTTTGGGTTTAGGTAAACCCGCCCCATGGGTACCTGTCCACACACATATAATTACTTTCCCGGTATATTTAATATTCTAAATAATATATCTTCCTTAAACAACTAATATTCTTTATGTTTGTGGAGACATGTATAATTTGTTCTTTCTAATTGTTTAGAATGAAGTTGATATTATGAAGTGAAGAGTGAAGAAACTTATTTGACGAGGAAGAAGCTTTCGATTAATCTTGTTGTTTACAGATGTTTATCTTTAATTTTGAACAATTTGTATTGATCATTTGCTGTTCGCTTGTATGTTCTAGATTGGTGTTTTTTGTATGAATAATTTTTATGAGAAAATTGATGTTAAACTTGTATTTTGAAAGAAATTTGTTATTGTAAATTTTTTACCACAAAAGCCCACGAGTACCCATGAACCCGCGGATACCCAGCTGGTTGGGTTAGAGTTTTTCAAACCCAACGGATTTTACCCCTGGTTTTTTGGCGGATAAACCCATGAGTTTGGGTTTGGGTTTGACAAAACCCACACCAACCCGACCCATTGCCATCCCTAGTCCCATTGGCTTGTAGGCATGAGTCTCCTTTTATAGGAGTCTTGCACTTTTATAGGAGTCTTGCGCTTCCTTTCGTGAGCTTAGACCTGAGAAGATGTATGGAGCGATGGGGTTGGGCCCATCGATGACGTAGTTGTTTGTCGTATTAGGTGATAACCCCAACACATACACTTAGAAGCCAAGCTGTAAATCAAATGCCAAGTAACATCTGTTGTGCATACACACATTTCCCCCCTTTTCGTATTACAATTCAGATATGTACCATTACATTTAACCTCTTTGGAAGTAGGCATGGGTTTTTTCAAGGCTAGGAGTAATAATCTATAAGAATAACTACCAAAAATGGTGTTAATAAGCTAAGCTCAGAGGCAAAAGGATCTCAACTCTCAAGCCCCTCCGACTGCATCACCTAATCGGCACTTACAGGATCAAAGAATTGATAGCAGTAAATTGAGCTACAACAACCGTCCGTAACCATTTTCCAGATCAGAAGTTCTTCAGGATTTTATCTGTTGAGACTCCCTCTTCTACAAGAATTGAAGTTACCTCCTGCATAAATCCAGCTCCATAAATTAACATTTGCAATAAGCAAATTCTTTGAAGCACAAGAATATTACATTGACATTTCAGTCTACAATATAATAGGATGACTAAAGGTGTTAGATTCGGATCCTGTGTTCGAGTTAGCAAGTGAGGTCACTGATCACGGTACCATTCATGCTAGCACTGCGATGTGGCATCATGCAAAGCTACGAATTCAAATAGAAGATGGCTTGCCAAATGTGCCTTCTGTGTGACCAAATACTACAAATTTATTTGAGACGAATATCAGAACATTCAACAAGGTCCTAGCATTTCCAACAAGGTCCAATAGACCCCTACTTTCAGCAACAACAAATCTTCGACAATGGTCCTAATTAATTCCCAGAAGTCCTTCATCATACTATTGATTATACTTTTTTATGATGATATTGATTGTATACTTTTTTGTGCCTCACATTTTCATCATTATACTTAACTAGTTCGGACATTTCTGCCCAACTAACGACACGTTTTTATTACACCAAACAGTAGAGCACATTACATTTTCTGTTCTCTAACATACATAAGGCTCATTAAGAAGGGATGAAACATTACTTTGATATATAATATATTTTCGTTTTGCATCCTCAATAAACTCCATAAATAGTTTAATGTACAAGAGCCTAAGCACCCAGACACTCATGTCCAACAAAGTTGTCAACTTTCACTTTTGTGGACAGAAAGACCATAGTAAGCATTCCATCTAAGCATCGAATCTTCAATTTCAGGCAACATTGCAACCAATCACTCTATCTCGAATTATTCTTTCCTAAATCCTTACCCTTTCTGACCGAAACATGCAACTGAGTGAGTGATTGGTTGCAATGTTGCCTGAAATATGTATCCCAAAACCTCAAAGAACAAAGTCACCCATCTAGTTCGATACCACCAAATGCAGAGCAATTGTCAGCGAATGCATTCAAACATCCCAAAGCACTATACCAGTCAGTCCTAATGAATGACCAGGCACAGGTTTAACTACAAAGAAACCATCTAACCAAACCCAAACCAGTAGTCAAGTTCAAGTCGAAGTTGTATGAAAAAATTGAAATGACTATAGAGGAAAATCATGTGAAGGGATGAAAGCTTCCAAATTCATTTATAAAAAAATAAAATAAAAAGAAGAAGAAGGGATACATGGCGCTCTGGCAAGTTTCAGTCCATATGAAATCAATCCACATGCACCAAAAGAAAAGGCACTAGGTATTTTTTAAGGACAAAGACGGACAAGTTTGCCAACTACGGTGATTGAATTCTTGGTACAAGAAGGTGAGGAAGCCAAAGTTAAGTGCATGGAAAGTCAAACACAACTCCAATATCTCCTAGTTCACAGGCAGTGACTGGAAGCAAGAGTACATATTGGACTGATTTATAACATCTGTTTCTTTCGCCTGTAATGCCTAACTTGGAAGCTATCTCAAGTAGAGCCCTTTTACTATGCTATAAAGTATTGGTGCTTTAATGTACAACTTGAAGTTGTACCATAATATTAAATGTATAAGTTCAAGTTGTATCATAAAAAAATTTGTACCCTTATGTTATGGTACAACTTTACAAGTTGAAGTTGTACCATCACATAAAAGTAAAAGTTCAAGTTGTACCATAAAGAATATGTACAAAACAGTGTAGGTATAATCTAAAACTGTACCATAACATTGAGTATACAATTTCAAGTTGTACCATAAAAGTAAAAACCTATAGCACCAATACTATATAGTATTCTAAAATTTCTCGTCTCAAGTATCCCATTGATTCTCTCAACAGTAAGAAACCATCCATGTGAAAAAGTTGACGGAAATCAGCATCAAGATCAACTAAAAGACATAACACGCACACACACACAACGAAGCTTTTTGAAGCAACAAACGGACTATCAAGAACCAACCATGTTGCAGACAAGATTGAAGTAAACCACCATATTTTGTACTCCTAAACTGCTCCTATAAATACTTTTTTTTGGGGTGTGTGTGTGTGTGTGTTGGGGGGGGGGGGGGGGGGGGGGGGGGGGATCCACCGCTTTCATTGGTGACTTATTGAAGTTGGATATAAGTTCTTCCCTAATGATTTAAATTTTTTTGCCTTTGAGGTTCCACAGATTTCACTATACAAGGCTATCTAATCAACTGCATGCTCAACATCCTTCATCTTATATCTATAGCATGATCTTTTTACTAGCATCAAGTTCATTCCAACCTATGTTTAGTTCAAACCATGGGGCAAGTACAACTTGTAAAAAAAAACATTAAAAAAGAGAGAACATATATGCAACGAACCTCTGCCATCTGTTTCTGCCCACAAAGTATAGCTCCAGTACCTGCTGGGCTGGATATCTGAGTGGCCCTAGCAAAAGCAGCCTGCATAGCAATCAAATTGAAAGCCATTTACTAGATTCATACCGTATCAGTAGACAACTAACCCTGAGAAGAAATGGAGTATGAGCACATACAACTAACCTGTACATAGCCAGCTTCACCACTCCAACTATTATCTGGTTGCGATAGCACTGGCACAATCGTAACCCCGGAGGACTCCCAATCTTTGAACCTATCCTATAACCAAAGCAGAGGCAACCAACTTGAACATACATTCACACACACCAAATAGAAACTAGTAGATGGCAGCGGATGAACGATGCAGTAAGCAAACCTGGTAAGCCATTCTCTTCAGGTTTCTGGCTCCGTAATAAAGCCTCACGTCCGATCTGTGGTTGGCACCGAAACCTGACTCAATGAGAGATCGGATCGGACTGCACTGGACAAGTATGCGATCATTAGGAGGCCCCCAAATCCCCCATATCAAAACCTATGATGTTGGAACCGTGAAAGGTTCTTACCTAATTCCAGAGCCGGTGGCGAAAATCAAAAGAGTGGGGTACTTTTCAGGCGGATCGATCTGATCGATCGCGAAGCCTTTGCCCATAACCTGGCTCAATTCCACGACATCTCCTCTCTTTAAGGCGCACAGGAGCTCGGCCGTGGAGCCGGCGACGCTCTTTACCAGAAACTCAAACGCGCCTCTAGATGCGGCAAGCGAAGGAGGCGAAGCGATGGCCAGAAAGGAAGGTTTCTCGACCTCAGGGATTCGGAGCTGTAGGTACTGACCGGGCAGCGTATGGGACGCGGCGAGGTCGAGGGAGTCGGAGACGTCGATGCTGATGTGGAAAAGAGACTCGGCGACGGGCTCGATTTCGGCTAGCGGGGCTTGGGTCCAAGCGGCGGTATCCTGGCGGACGGCGGCGGCGGCAGCGAAGGAGGAGAGACGCCTTCGGTGGGGGGAGGTTAGACGGAGGGGCGCAAGGCGGCGTAGGATAGACATGGGGAAGAGGGGAGAGCTAAGCTGCTCATGGATGGCAGCGGGAGAAGGAACTGGAAGAGGAAGAGGAAGGAGAAGGTTGGATGACATAATTAGGCTTTGATTGGCTGAATATTTAGGGCAGGAAGGAGGAAGATCCGACTAGCGGCGCAAATGGTGGCAGTGTTGGTGAAGAGGCGGCGCTTGAGAAATGTTGGCGAGTGCCGGGGAAAAGGTCCACTTCTCAATTTACTAGGCGGGATCGAAATTAAGTAGGATAGGATTAGGTGGTGGCCCATTTCCACGTCTTCCTTTTTTTTGGTTGGTTTAGGCTCAACCAGATAAATTGCACCACTTAATATTGGATTACGGTTCTCCATTACATTCAACGACCCACAAAAGTGTTCTTTTAAATTAAAAGCTCAGATCTATTCAAGCAATAGATAGTGGAGCCCACGACCTGAAAAAGTAGCTGACATGTGGGTTATTTATTTTTAACAAAATAAAATTTATACATACTATTTACAAGTGGTATATGTATTTTTTTTGAACTAAAATCATATTTGTATCAAATAAAATACATATTTGTATTGAAAAAAATACATATTTGTAAAGAGCAAAAGTTATATTTGTGCTGAACAAATATACACATTAGAATATCATATTCCTATTAAACAAAATATGATATTTGCATTGAATAGAAAACATATTCCATATATGTGATTTCTATATTCGTAATTTTCACAACTCTTATTCAAAATAATATACCACGTATTAAAAACCATATTCTTACTAAATATAAAACATATTGCTACTGATCACATAACATATTTGTACAAAACAGAAATAATATTCAGCATTTTCAAGAACTTGCATTCTCTACTCTCTTTTGTGTCAGTTCTTTTTCAGTTCATGGGCCCATAAAAAGCTGCTTTTTGTCAGCTCCTTTTCAGTTGATGACCTCACTTTCCACTACTACTTTTTACCAACAAACCTTGACCCTTAATTTAATGACCCATTTTTATGGACCATTGGATATAAGATGGAGAACAGTTCTCCAAAAGTCAAGTGGTGCACCATATCTAAATTCGTTTAGGCTTAGGCATGGCTGGAACTTGTCGATCGGCCTATTGTCGAGGCATGTGTCATCCCTTGATGGTTGACCAAATTGTAATTGAAATCATACCCAATTCGTTTGTCAAAGGATATTCATCGTAGTAGTTCAATTACGTTTCTCCATCACCGACGTATATATGTTCTTGTCCGAGATGCAGCTTTGAACCTAAAAGGTTGAAACTGCTATTCATGTTATTGTGACTGTTCTTACGTAAGATCACGTTGGCAAAACCTAGTCACTTCATCATACACTTACTTTTTCTTAATGGTGATACAAGAATGACTATCATATTTCTTATTTTGAGTTGTGCCCGTGATGACCTCATTCAAGGTTACCCCTGCAGAGTTGGAGTATATCCATAATGTGGAACATATAGAAATGATGTAGTACATGGAAAACACATTGGTCGCATGAGAACTTTTGACAAGTTCCCATGATACTTGCGAGTGAGATCACTAATGCATCATCAATCAACCCCCTCCCCCACAAGTGATACGTTGGGTTAGTTTAGTGATGGATTTAAAAAATTTATGCAGGGGTGCCCTCCTTTTTTTAAAAAATTAAGAATTAAGAATAAATATTAAATAATTCTTATTTCTTAAATGAGAAAAATATCCGACTAGTATTCAACGAAAAAATATTCGATTAATACAAGTTACAACAAAAGTCCAAGTTGTGTTTTCAAATTCTGAAAATATTGTAAAACACTCCCTGTGTCTATAGTACTCAGCAAATCTCTTTCAATATATCCTACAAGACAACCATTCACGAACTGATTGCCTAGTCGATTGTGAAGCTTGTTCTTGATGTAACCCAAAGGTGAAAAAGCTCTTTCAACACTTACAGTTGCAACCGGTAAAATCAATACAAATTTGAGAAGCAAATATACCCATGGATATGATAGATTCACTTTTGTCTTCACCACTAGCTGACATAATTCATCAATTTCTTTTAATTCATGGAATAACTCATCATTCTTAATACAATGGTAGTAATTCTCGAAATCCCGTAGAAGAAAAGAGTCGGAAAGGTGATCAAACTCTGTAGGATAAAATCACGTAAGACTTACCAGCTTCTCCTTGTCAAAAGAAGCAAACTCATTTTTCGGGTTATGAGAAGTCATACAAGTCAACAACCTAGTATTCACCTCATCAAAGCGGTTGTTCAACTCTTGTCGTTGCACGTGTGTTTAAAATTATACGTATCTTAAGTTGTAACAATAAATGAGTTGTTGTCTAATGGAAAATATGTTATCTAATAGATAGGGTGTCACAGGTTCAAATCACATAATTTACTATTTTTTCCTTTTTTAATACTCAAACTACTACCGGAGGTTCGATATTTTTTATCCCGAACCTCTATGGGTCCGCCCCTGGATTAGTTTGATTACCCAATGCATCATCAATCAAACCTCTCCCCCTCAAGTGATACGTTGGATTAGTTGGCATCGTTTTCCAAAAGAATGGGTTAAGCTCAACATGGATGCTAGTATTGTAGTAGAACACATGACTCTGCATCAGCCTTTTTTACTTTCATTTTAGTATTGTAGTAGAACCAATTTCTGTAAATTTGAGGGCTCCAAGTACGTGTTTCCTTGCAAATTGCCTGCTCAGTGTAGCACTATGGAGGATGTTGAAGTATAAGATTTTTCTGCAGAGTGGATAGAGCTTCCGACCCCCCTTATTCACTTAACGGGGGTTCCAACTCATTAGACCTTCCTCTTCTTCCAGTGAAGTGTAGCATGGCTCTGCAGAGTGGCCCGTGAAGGCCGCAATGGGTAACTCCAGCTCCGATGGCCCTTCTGGTTGTGGGAGAAAGTCTTCTTGGTAATGAGGTTGTTCTTGATATGCCCAGGGGTATGATTGTTCTCCGTAGTAAGGGGGTTGGTACTGGAACCCGAATCCATAGTCTTTTCCTCCTTGATTGCTCCATGGAGTCTCGTGGTAATACCACTCGGATGGTGGTGGATACCCCCAATGGTTGGAGAAGCCATGAGGATCTATGATTCAGATCTGCACCAACAAAAACAAAAACACCCAAGTGAAAAGCAAGGGTGGAAAAGAAAAGAAAAACGCTAAAGTAACAAACTTCTGCCATTCCTAATAATCTAGAAAGTCCCCGGCAACGGCGCCAAAAACTTGACACGCTACGACCCAACACCTAATGACTCACTTCTACTGTCACTTCAGGAATTGGCCAAGTGAAACCACTTCCTAAAGCGTAGTATAGCGGGTTTAGGTTTAAATGTCAAACCGGGTCCTAGATTTGATGACTACTCGGTGAATCCTTGTTATCTAGCAATGAAACTTTAATGCAAGTCTAAACTAACAAACTAACAAAGCAAGTAAACGGTTGTATTCAGGTTAAGAGAGGTCACCCGAATATGGTTCCCCCTAGACTGCAGTTAAGCCGGATTGTAATTACCAAGTTCAGTTTCTATGATAGTTATACTGCGGAAGGTTCTTAAACAGCCTGAAGTCTCGACTAAAGGTCTTCAGACCCTCTCAATCTGAGTCTCTAGCGGGCGACTAACCTCCACCGGAGTAAACAGATTGAGGCCTTAACAAACAAAACCTCCACTACCGGCGTAAATCCGGTACAGAATAGTGAGTTGGCTCCTCGACTAAAGTCACCAACTCCCTACCTTCAATCAAGGATGCTCTATCAACCTAGGCAGATATTCTCATTCTAGGTCAAAGCAGAAACAACAGGAATTTGATCAGGATTCAAGTCATTCAATCATTCAAACCTCAATCGAATATAATCAAATCATAGAATCAGTACTTGGGTTCATACAATCAAACCTAACATACAAATCTAGGGTTCTCCATACCCAGATGAATGGGAGAACTACTCCATGGAAAAAAAAAATCAAAAGCAGAATTAGACGCGGAATTCATACTGTGAAGGATGGATTCCTGCTCCTGGATGTTGATCGGCACTTCTCCAAGCTCAAACTGGCCTCCAATGGTGATGAAGATCAATCTAGGGCACTTGGACACTCTTGTTCGTCGCTTTCTCTCTCTAGGAATCGCTCCGTCCTTCTAAAACTCGAATCCCCTTCTGTTTTGGCTGAAATCTGCTTAAAAGGGCATCAGTGGCCAAAGCACGGTCGAGGGCACGGCCGTGCTTTGCCTCAGCCCGCCCGTGCTTTGGCTAGGGTTAATTACACGGCCATTGTGTTGGGAGAAACACGGCCGTGCTTTTGGGAGGACACGGCCGTGCTTTGGTGGACATGGCCGTGCTTCCAGCCCGTGTTTGCAGCTTGAATTTGCCAAACTCAATTAGCTCTCGGGAGTAAAAGCACGGCCACAGAACACGGCCGTGTTCTGTTTTAGGTGTGCCCGTGTTTTGGCTCCAGCTCGACGAAATGACTTCTGAATGCCCCGAAACTCGTGCTTAGCCTTTCCTTTGACGCCTGGGACCTCAAATATGACAAAATAGCACAACCCGGCGTAAAATAGGCCAAAAATACCCGACTATGCCCCTCAAACGGATAAGAACTAGGGGCGCAAATATGTGCAATTACATCGTTATCACCTAACAATGGCCAAGGGTAACCAATGAAAGGGACTGCAGTAAAGTGGCACAAGTAATAAATATCGAATCCACGTGTCTCTAGTGTTACTATTACCCAGCTTCAATTCATTATCTAGCAAACTAGATTAAGGATTGATTTACTAAACTACTCTACTAATTACAAGTTGGGAACTCACTTAGGTATGATTCCCCCTAGCTCCTCAATTAGGTCCAAGTTGCAATTACCTTTGGTTGATATACTGTTGATTAAACTGCGGAAGATCCTAAATTAGCTTGGAATCTCTTAAGCTGACCAAGCCCTCTTAGACAGAATACCCGGCAGGCGACTAGCCTTCACCGGGATAGACTGCTGAGGCGATTCACACAGATCTCCACTACTGGAATGAATTTCAGTACAAAGCAGTGAATTGATTGACTCTTGCACAACCAATTCACCACTATCAATCAAGGAAGCTCTCTTAACCTAATCAGATTCTATCTATCATAGGTTAAAGCAGAAATCAAGAGAATTTGATCAAGATTCAATTGACTCAATAAATCACGCCTCAATAGATTATAATCAAACAATATAACATCCAAAACTTCATACAAGAAAGATCCTAACACATGGAACTAGGGTTCCTCAAAACCTAAGTGAAGGGAAGTTACTCCACAGAGAAGAGGGAGACTGCAGAAATCTGATCTAGATCTTCAATCTCCATCTCCAAGCTTGATTATCGAGCTCCAATGGTGAAGAAATCCTCCAAAATAGCTCCAAGAATGTTCCCAAGTCGCTCTCTCTCTCTCTCCAGGGTTCGTCCCTTGGGTGTTTGGGATCCAAAAACCCAGCTCTCCCTCTCCTTTGGCTCAAAATTGGCTTAAAACCAGAAATTCCCGACTCACACGGCCAAGCCACACCGCCGTGTGACTTTCCCAGCTGCCCGTGTGAGTGTCTAAACACGTTTCGATTAGTGGGCAACCAAGCAAGCTGCACGGGCAGAGGCCACACGGTCGTGTGGCTCCCCAGGCTGTCAGTGTGGCTTTTACCGAGCCTTCACACTGCCACAAGGGGCCCATACACGGCCGTGTGAGGTGCAATGGTGCCCGTGTGGCTTCCCAGCTTCTCGCCAAACATCCAAACTTCGTCCAATCGACCCCGAACTCGTTCCCAAACCTTCATTCACGTACTAGGACCTGAAATATCACAAACAAGCACAACCTAGCGTGAAATCGGCCTAAAACACGAGAATCAACATCTCAAACGGCTCAAGAATAGGGGTAAAAACATGTGTAATTATTGCTCTATCAATTACCCACGTCCCACAACACCTGATTTAGCTCTCAAAGAGAAACACACCATTATCCAAAATAAATACAACTCAAATTCTATTTATGAATGAAATTTTGATGGATTTTCAGATTATCAAATTTTGAACCTTCTTCAACAAATGACCATGGTAGCTAATGCTTACAAAACACAAAATCAAACTTCTGATTTCGCTATAGCTGAACTACTTATAGCCGGCTTTGCTGGTCAATTAAAGGGTTGGTGGGATAATATCTTAACCGCAGAAGACCAGAGAACTATTTTTACAGCTGTCAAATGTGATTCTTCTGGAGGAGCCATCACAAGATTCAACAATGTCATTCAAACCAGCATCCATAGAACCAATAAGAACCAATAAAAGGATTCCCTCCTTCCTTATCAAGCTTGTTCTTTATCTTCAAACAATCATGTATAGTGCGGTACTCCTTCTTTCAATACCTACACCATTTCCTCCCATATGTAGTGTAATCCCTAGGATGTCGAGTACTTTTCCCTCTTCCAGGCTGCCTAGGTGGCTGGCTAGTTGCTAAGAGAGCAAGAGAATCAACACGTCCCTTGTCTGTTAGAAGCCCTGTCATCTGTCTCTCTAGTTGAACCATCTGCTTGAAAACAGACTCAATGCTAGGCAGTTGAGCATTCATAAGAACTTGTGTTCTAGCTGAATTGTAAGAATCATTAAGTCCCTGGAACCATGCTCTTCATATCTCTGGATTGTGAAGAAAGGGCTATTTGCACATGGACAACAGGACACTAGCCTATACATCTTGTATTCCTGCCACTTGGTTGTCAAAGCAGTATAATATTGGGTCACTACCAGATCCCCTTGAATAAGCTTGGAGATATGTTCTTTCAACTCATAAACCCTAATATTATTTGTTTGACTGAACCTATCCTTAAAGATTGTCCCAAACATCCTTGGTAACCTTGTAGGGCACAACACTGTTGGCTATGTCATCTGAAAGCACATTGTAAATCTAGCATTTAACAGTGATATCGCACCTATGCCAGGAATGCCAAATGGGATCTCCAATCTTGGGAACTGGGATCATGCCATTCACAAATTGAAGCTTATTTTTAGTGCTAAGAGCGAGCTCCATTACTTGACTCTAGAGGTTGTAATTTTGATCAGTAAGCTTCATGCTGTGATGGTGGTCAAACCCCCATCTTAGCGAAACCGTGAAGTGTGTTAGTGAAACAGTACACATACGGTTTGCTTCACGGTTTTTATGCAAAGTTCACGGCCATGACGGACAATCGTGAATTATGCACTGTTGTCTATAAAAAGGAAGAGAATCAGATTTGAAGGATAGTTGGCTTTGGGAAAGAAAAATTGGACTTCTTCTTCTATCGTAGAGAGAGAAAATGACGAACAAGGAGAGTTTAGAAGAGAATTGGAACTACCCATCACCCAAGGAAGCTTGATTTCATCTCCAAGAGTATCCCAAACAACTAAGTAGGAAGATCTTCTCACCATGATGATTGTCTCCTTCTTTTTGGTTGTTTTTCTCACTCTAGCCATGGAGTAGTCCTCCAATTCACTTGGATGATGTATAACCCTAGTCTATTATGTTGTACATGATTGTATGTGAACTCTAGGCCTATATTTTCATGTTGATTATATATTTATTTGAGCATTATTGATGGAAACTGAAGGTTCTTGATCACTTCCCTCAATTTGGGTCTAACTAACCTAGGTGAGAGAGTATCTCCTTAGGCTTAATCTACAGTATTGTTAATTCAACACTTTGGGTCTATGAATGAGTGTGATTATATTACTTATGTTGTATCTAGTATTTACCCAATTGTGGAAATAGGTTTGGTTGCCTTGATTGCCTAGGTTGGTTGTTTGGTACGCCTCTCTAGGTAGTGCAATTGAGTGGGATAGGATAACTCGAATAGGGAGTCCTATCTAGATTAGAACTCCCTATGGTATATGGGGAGTGTGAATCGTGATAGTGTGTCACAACATCAATTCGACATAGACTAGGAGGAAACACATCCTAGTGAAGTTTTCTCAACTAAATTCAATCTCAATACCACTACAACACCCGAACTATTAAAAATTGCCACTTGTATCCTATTTTATTCAATATTCCATTTCTATCCCGTCGTATCATACTTTTGTGTGATTTGTATTCTGACATTTTGTTGACCGTTAAAGATAACGGTTGACTGAACGAAGGTCAAACCATTGTTGACTTTTGCTGACGTGACAAATACGTGGTTGCCACATAGATGCCACGTCATTAAAAAATAACAATGAAAAAACTATAAAAAAATAAAAGGAAATAGTCTCAAAACTTCCCCTCGATTTGTTCTTCTAAAATCAAAACCAAGGTCGGATTTCAGAAGAGGTGGTGATGTGCGGTGGTCCAAGAGGAGACACGAAGTGATGCGAGGCAAAGACAGAGAGTGGCAATGGTCGGTGGTACTGGAAAAATAGACGAGCTCGGTGATCGGCGGTAGGCGATTGAGGCAGGGGAGATCGACGCGAGACTTGTCTTTGGCTCTCTACTCGCCGACGGCAACTTTTGTAGGCAATTACAACATATTGACCACCGACCCTGCAATCTCTCTTCCCCCACCACAACAAACTCTAGATTTGACACAAGATCTTGCTCAACATTGCTACAGATCCCAAGTATGGCGCAGCTAGCCAGACGTCCCTCCGTTTGCACAATCCCGTTGTAGCCCTAGATGGACTAGGGTTTAACGACACCCAGTTCACATCTCGTAGATCAGGTGGCCTTCCAAGGGCGATGCGGATGACTCTTTCAGATTGCTTCCGCCTCCTGTGCCGGATTACGCCTCCCTCGATGAGAAAATCACGCATGCCAAGATGTGGGACTCACCGTCCTCATTGATTTCTACTGATATCAGTAGCACAACAGTAAACGCCGGCCTGGAGGGGGGAGAAGCAGAGGGATTGGAACTCGATGAAGCAAAGAAGCGGCGAGAGGCAGTTAGTGGAGGCGTTGGGAGAAGGGGAGTTTCTAGGGAGAGGGAGTGAATCGTCGATCTAGAGAAGAGAAGTAGGGTCGCCGGTGGTTGATGGTGGTTTTAACGGAGATAAGAGGAAGAAGACGGTTGGAGATGCGAATCGGATGTAGCCATCTGAGGTTTTTGTTATTGTTTTTTTCGTTTTCTTAGTTTATTATTATTTGGTAGAAAAATAAATACAAATTGACATAAAAAATTTCATTTCAGATGCCACGTCATTGCTGACTAGACTTTCTGTTATACAACTAACGGTCAACTTTGGTCAACTCTATCGGAAAAATAGTTCAGGATATAAATGGAATATTGAAAACAATATGACACAAGTGGCATTTTTTGGATAGTTCGGGTGTTGTAATGGTATTAGCCTTAGTTAAAACAACAATTCGATTGCAAGATAATGTATAGTTCATTGAATTAAGGATCGACAGACCGCCAGGGTTGATAATTCAAAATACTTGCTCTATACTACACCCTGTTAAAGGTTGCACTTGGCTTTTGACCAGGATAGGTGTAGTTAGGCACGAGTTAAGTCTTCACACCTGCAATTTTCACAAACAAAGGATCTCTATCTCATAGCCTATAGCAAAAGTGACATTGACTTCTCTTTCTCATCCTCTTGTAGGAAAAGTGATGGGTGAGAAAATGGAAAAGTGTAGGAAGGTGAAGCGTTCGGATGTAAATCATGATCTCTAGAGCCCCAATTCTCAACCTGCACTATCATCTCAATGACATACGGGTTCCACACATATGAGATAATAGCAAGAGCTGAGGTCTCCCAACTTACATAGAGGCACACTATCTCCAAAAGCTATTCGAATTTCCCAAACACATCCTCAAAGGGCACTCCGGTCCATAAGAAAGCCTCTATGACGGCTTAATCTAAACACTATGACCGTTTGCCTCTCACATGAGAATACTCACTTTTCATTTATAATCACATTGAAAATAGAGCACCTTTTTTGCAGAACTTTTTTTAGTCCAAAAATGAGAGAGAGTCCAACAAATATGTCATAATACCACTAGTTAACAATATCAACCAACCAAGGAAAAAGTAGAGGTAACATTTCTCATGGAGTGACATTCCTCAAAACGCTATACTAACCTCCTATAGAATGCATACAATCTCAACATCCAACAATTCAAAGTACAATGAGTAGGAATCACGCATGAGACAAGGTATTTGAAACCCTTAAAATTGAAAATTTGGGCATAATATCTAGGTTCCCAAACATATACAATATAGGCCAACAATCATTCATTCTTCCACAAGTGCTTGGAGCCCTCAAATTGTTGAAATTTGTGCAAGGCTCCAAAGCATTCATTAGAAATGGCATACATTCACATTCACACGCCATTCACATACATATTCAACATACCCCCAACACGCACACTTAAGCACAACATTGTACTCAATAGAGGAAGAATAAGGGTGGAATGAAGTTACTGAATCAAAGCGAATGAAAAAAGTAGGACTGGAGAGTGGACCAGTTTTGGAAGAGAGAGAGATATCATAGGGAACAAACACAAACTCACCAAAAGTGAGGTTATTACTACACAAACACAATAGAGAAAGGTTAAGAAAACAAACTGAAGCTTGGTTCCTCCCAACAAGCACATCTTTCACATCATAGCTAGACTAAACAAGAAGACTAGAGATCTTCAAGGAGCATCACCTCGCCCCTGAGGTAAAGCTTAAGGCGATGTCCGTTGACCTTGAATGTGCCAGGTTCATGGTGAGTTACTTCCACCACCCCATAGGAGAACACTTGGTTCACCTATAGGGACCCGACCACCTCAATCTAAGTTTTTTTGTGGAACAATCGGGGTCGGGAGTTATAGAGGAGGACATGATTGTCCGGTTTGAAGTTCTTATTCCCCTTAAGATGGGCATCATGAAGGCGCTCTTTCTTTCCTTGTAAAGACGAGTGTTCTCATAAGCATGGTAAGCCACTCCTCTAGCTCCAAATCGATAATTTTTGCTCATTCCTGCAAATATTTACATCCATGTTAAGAAACTTAATGGCCCAAAAAGCCTTGTGCTTTAGATCTAGCTCTACCGGTAGGTGACATGCTTTGCCATAGACAAGGTGTAGGATGATGTACCCATAGGCTTCTTATAAGCCATGTGGTATGCCCACAGAGAGTCATCGAGTTTGGTGGACCAATCCTTTCGAGATTGATCCGCCATCTTTTCAATTATCCTTTTCAACTTATGGTTCGTTAGCTCAACTTGACCACTTGTTTTTGGGTGGTAAGCGATGGACACCCTATGAGTTAAACCATAGAGACTAAGGAGTTTGTCAAATTGACCCCGGAAATGAGTGCCTCGGTCACTAATGATAGCTCTAGCTATCCCAAATCTAGAGATGTTACCTGAATGTTGGCACCTATTGCATCGCCGAGCAAACTTGTCGACATCCTTGGATATAGAGTGCTAGTAAAAAACTGATTGGAGCACCTTACTTGCGGTCTTGTTACCTCGACGATTCCCCCCGTTCGGGCCTTCGTGACAATTGGACAAAATATCATGCACCTCCCTTCCTGCACACATTGCCGAATGACCCCTTCGACACCTATTCAGAATAGGTGCGGGTCATCCCAGTAGTAGAACCCCAATTCTGAGAAGAACTTTCTCCTTTCTTGAGTGCTCATCCCCCTTAGCAATTGCTTACCAACCAAATAATTGGCATAGTCGGCGAACCAAGATGTTACTCTATCCGTCAAATTCAACATGAATAGATTCTTGTTAGAGAATGGCTCATTGATCTTTCTATGAATGGTGTGAATTGAGGAACTCTCGAGTCTCAAAAGGTGGTCGGCGGCTAAGTTATCGACCTCCTTCTTGTCCCGGATCTCGATGTCAAATTCTTGTAACAGAAGGATCCATCAAATTTATCAGCCTTGGTTTGGCATCGGTTTTACTTATCAAAAGCGAATAGCTGAATGATAAGTATAGACTATTACCTCGGACAACACAAGGTAAGACATGAACTTGTCAAAAGTGAAGACCACCACCAACAATTCTTTCTCGATGGTGGTGTAATTTTCTTGAGCTCCATTTAAAGTACCGGAAGCATAGAATATAGGCTGGAAATTATTGTCTCTCTGTTGCCACAACACCATTCTAACCTCATAATCACTCATATCACACATCAACTCAGATGGGTGACCATTATCAAAGTATTGGTGATATTTTCCTTCAAGACTCTGAATGCCACAGAGTATTGGTGATAGTTTCCCCCTCGAGAAGCTTTGCCCATGGAAGAGCAATTTTAGAAAATTTCTGTACGAATCACCAATAAAACACAACATAGCCAAGGAAACTCCATATCCCCTTGAGATATGTCCGAGGGGGAAACTTGCTATTGGTATCAACCTTTGCCCTGTTGACTTCAATGAGATTTTTTGTCTGAGAACGATGCCATTTCGTACCATGAAGTGAAATTCTCACAAATAAGAGCAAGATTGGTGTCTTCGCATCTTTTCAACACTCGATCCAAATTGTTGAGGCATTGGGAGGAGTCCCCAAAAACTGAAAAGCTATCCATGAACACCTCCATGATCTCTCCTGCCAAGTTGCCGAAGATTGAAACCATACACCTTTGAAATGTGGCCGAAACATTGCGCAATCCAAAAGTGATGCCCCTATAAGACAAGGTGTCGAAAGGACAAGTGAAGGTATTCTTGGCTTGATCCTATGGTGGAATGGGAATCTGAAAATACCCGTATGTCATCAAAGAAGCAAAAACATTCATGCGCTGCTAACCCCTCTATTATCTTGTCAATGAAAGGTAAAAGAAATTGATCCTTCCAGGTGGCGTCATTCAACCTTCGATAATCGATACACACCCGCCTGACACCATCCTCGTTGGAATCATCTAATTTTGCTCATTGGGCACCACAGCCATGCCTTCATTCTTTGGTACCAACTGAGTTGGGCTCACCGATTGGTTTTTTGAGATAGGGTAGATGATTATGACATGCAAGAGCTTAATCACCTATGCTTTGACCACCTCTTCTAAGTTAGGATCCACTAGACGTTTTGCTTATCTCACTGGTTTAACATCGCCTTCCTTAAGGAATTTTTGGGAGCGAAAGAAAAAATTGATTCCCCTTATGTCGGTGATCTTCCAATAAAGGAGCTCTACCAACCTTGTTTACTGTTATGGAGTAAGGTCTAAGCTGATGATCACTTGAAGCTAGAGTGTTCATGCTATCAAGAATGGAGAATTATGACTCACCACAGATACATCATGATTTAAACCCCGACTAGAGCCCAAGCATAAACTCTAGTCGGGTGCAGTATAGGGCAAGTATGTTTTAATTGTCAAACCCAGGCCGGTCCATGTACCCCTACTTCAATCGCTTAGTTTGTTATCTATCAAACATTTTTGGGTTCAAAACTATAAAAACTACAAATGAAAACAAGCAGCTAAAGTAAATCAAGGTTGTCCCAATGAGAGAAGAGTTCACCTCGGGTATTGCTCCCCCTAGCTACATATCAAGATCTCCCAAATCAAATGCAAATGTGTGGAGGTGTGTTAGTACACCGTAGAAAGGCGCAACAAGTGAAGGAAACCTCACTCTCTTAATAAATTGGTTAAGGAAAACAATTAAGCTAGGAATCTTAGCTCTCGCAATCCATGGATTAAGGATTGCTACAATAAACTAGGGAGTCTAGCTCTCTTAAGCTTTCGGTTACAGATTTCAACAAAAAGCCAAGAGTCCTAGCTCTCTTAACCGATAAAACTAAGGGTTGCAAAACAAATCCCTCAGAACTTAATCCAGACGACAAAGTAACACCTAAGTTAAAGTGCTAAATCAAAGTTTGAG